CAATTGCCCTGGACAGCCATTCACGATCAACTCTTCTCGGCAAGACACCACATACTATCGGGATCCCTACCCTACCTCTAACCTTCCCTAGCAATGGCTGGACCAGACACACAGGCAGACACATCCTTTTATTATTATAGATGAATAGTGATACCAAAATGATAACGCACAGCTGACTTTAAAAACAAAAGCGAAGTTTGCCTAGCACCTACCGGGACATCATTGCGCCAGGCGCAACTCTCGAGCATAATTTTGTCAAACCGTCCCCTGGGCTGTTATGTGTTGACACGAGACCCTCACAGTGAGCTGCCGCGCAGTCCAGAAAGGCCACCTTAATCCCACCTCCCGTTCGACCTGGGTGGTGAGCCAGTTCATGATGGCGATGGGAGCAACGTGGCAGGTCAGCCCCCCCCCCCATGAAGCCGCCGTCCAGTGGTGAAGCTGAGGTGTAATTCTTACGTCGACGAGGTTGCCGCTGGGGTTTGGGGATTATGGCAAGCAGCAGCAATGAGCCTTGTGGTGGTGTTACCCAAGAGCGGCCGGATCTCGTCACGTGTCCCTTCTTATCATAATCATAGTGTGGGTTTTCTGCTACCCATAAACCTGATCTTTATAGACGTGCCAGATTTATGAAGGATTACAGTCAAAGCTTCTGGAGGTCACTGATCTAGGTGAGAGGTTCACGCCGCCCACGCCCTCTACCTCTTACGTCCATAACCGTCAACCAAGAAAACGTTCCACCGACCAGTGCAGTAACTTGGTAAACGCTCAACTGATTTATTAAAACAAATACGCGAAGGATATGAAATGGCACACTTGATCAGGGAAAAGTTATATCTAAAATGTAGGCAAGGAAAAACGAAGACTTACAGAAGGAAAGTTAGAGCGCATTTACTCGAGGTGTGTTAGTAGGGAGTGTACATAAGAACATAAGAACATAAGAAAATAAGGAGTCTGCAATAGGCCGGTTGGCCTGTGCATGGCAGCTCCTGTCGAGAGTTACTACCACTCTCTATCATCCATGAATCTATCTAGCCTCCTTTTGAAACTTTCCAGAGTTCCCGCACTTACTACAAAGTTGCTAAGCTTGTTCCACTCGTCCACCACCCTATTTGTGAACCAGTTTCTTCCTATCTCCCTCCTAAACCTAAACTTATCCAACTTGAATCCGTTGCTCCGAGTCCTATCCTGCTCGGATATTATAAGAACTTTATCTATATCCCCTTTATTGATTCCTTTCACCCACTTAAATACTTCTATCATATCTCCCTGCACTCTTCGTCTTTCTAGGGAATGCAAGTTAAGTTTCTTTAACCTATCCTGATATGGAAGGTTTCTAAGTCCCGGAATCATTTTTGTCATTCTTCGCTGCACCGACTCTAGTGAATTGATATCCATTCTATAATAAGGGCACCAGAACTGAACCGCAAAATCGAGGTGTGGCCTGACTAGCGCAAGATATAGTTGCAATAAGACCTCTGCACTCTTGTTACTTACACTTCTAGATATAAAACCCAATACTCTGTTTGCCTTATTTTGAACATTAACGCACTGTTTTCTAGGTCGTAGGTCCGGGTTTACAAGTACCCCTAGGTCTCTTTCACAAGTCGACTTCTCTAGGTTGATGTTGTTAAGGCTGTATAGGTGTTGAATTTCATTTGCCATTTTTCTGACCACTCCTGCAGTTTATTTAAATCCTCCTGTAGTGCATTTGCATCCTGCCCTGAATTAATCTGCCGCCCAGAGAGGAACCCTGAATTATATACTGTAAACGAACCGATTTGTTTACAAAAAGCTGGAGCTGGAAAATCAATCTGTTTTTATGAATGTCTATAATTTGTTGACTTATGACCATTTTAAACGTTTATATCGCCCAGTTTATACATTGAAACTGATAAATCTATTAGCCTGAAATCTGTAAATTGCAATAAAGTTATTCTAAACCACATAATGTGAAATATGAACTTGTAGTGCAAGGTTTGTGTGACGGAATAACATACTTATGTAATGATATGCAACCATCTTAAAGCCTGCATTACATTTCCCTATTTCACTGCACTTTCCTACAAGATTTATATAATACTTTTTTTGTAATCATAGATAATGCTAAATGCATCGTATATATACTAACAGGTATGGGTTATCTCTTGAATTAGGTGCAAGTAATATTGGGTACAACTTATCTCGCGAGTTGGGTACGAGTTGTCTTGGGTACAAGTTGTCTTGGGTACGGGTTGTCTTGGGTATGAGTTGTCTTGGGTACGGGTTGATCTTTTTGGGTACGATTTATCTTGGGTACGAGATGGCCCTAACCCTGTTAGTGGCACGCCAGCTGAGGAGGCGAGCGTGCACGTGACAACTACCCACACCCAAGGTGGCGCTGTTCAGTTTAGGCCAAAAACTCTACATGTCTGTTCCGCCCAATATAATCTGTCATAAGCAAGTTTTGGACCACACATATCTACTGTCACAATCTTCTACTGTCACAAGCTTCTACTGTCACAAGCTTCTACTGTCACAAGCGTCTACTGTCACAAGCTTCTACTGTCACAAGCTTCTACTGTCACAATCTTCTACTGTCATAAGCGGCTGCTGTCAAAAGCTTCTACTGTCACAAGCTTCTACTGTCACAAGCTTCTACTGTCACAAGCTTCTACTGTCACAATCTTCTACTGTCATAATCTTCTACTGTCACAAGCTTCTACTGTCAAAAATCTTCTACTTTCACAAGCTTCTACTGTCATAAGCGGCTACTGTCAAAAATCTTCTACTTTCACAAGCGTCTACTGTCATAAGCTTCTACTGTCACAAGCTTCTACTGTCACAATCTTCTACTGTCACAATCTTCTACTGTCACAAGCGTCTACTGTCACAAGCTTCTACTGTCACAAGCTTCTACTGTCACAAGCTTCTACTGTCATAAGCGGCTACTGTCAAAAATCTTCTACTTTCACAAGCGTCTACTGTCACAATCTTCTACTTTCACAAGCGTCTACTGTCACAATCTTCTACTTTCACAAGCGTCTACTGTCACAAGCTTCTACTGTCACAAGCGTCTACTGTCACAAGCTTCTACTGTCACAAGCTTCTTCAGTTTCATGCCCACCAATCCACTACGGCACATCACCGAAGAAATATTTTGTTGCAGGAGTAAGAAAAGGTTTGTACACTCTTGAGATCTGAGGAGACAAGTACAGATAACAAGTACATTCTGATAACATGCAAGGCACACAGAATGGGGCTTGTCATCTGGGAATAGTTTCATAATCTTCGTTCAGTTTTTAAGATTGCATAGTGTTTATAGCGTCCGGGAAGTTTCTTTGATGGGTGTGTGCCTTATCGTGATCGTATCTTACAAAAAGTTTTTCAGATACGTTATATTTAACGTATAATATAAAAATACAAAATGAAAGAACAAGATTTGGGGATCCGATTCATAATTTTTCACCACTTTATATAAAAAGTTAGAGCACTACAAATAATCTCATTAATATAAATAAAATGTAGAGCAGAGAGACCTTGGGATAACACTTGTACACGTGTCGTCTGACGGACCCAAATCAGGGAAAAAACATTGAGGTGGGGGGAGGGGGGGGTGGTGACGGGTCCGCCTCTACACCAACCACAAATGAACGCTATGGTAACTAGTGCTGTTTACCATAAGCGATCATCATCAACAACAGCTGGTATAGTGAAGCCATAACCCAGGGAGAGACGCTCACCTATCATTCTTCTCGTCTCATTCTTCCTTTATTATATCTCTCAGATTATTCGAATACATTCTCCATGGCCTGGTAGACCCCTGTAACACACATCTACTGTCAGCCCCATAACACACATCTACTGTCAGCCCCGTAACACACACACCTACTGTCAGCCCTGTAACACACACCTCCTGTTAGCCCCTAAACACATCTCTACTGTCAGTTCTGTAACACACATCTACTGTCCGCCCTGTAACACACACCTACTGTCAGTCCTGTAACACATCTCTACTGTCAGCCCTGTAACACACACCTTCTGTCAGCCCTGTAACACATCTCTACTGTCAGCCCCTAAACACATCTCTACTGTCAGTTCTGTAACACACATCTACTGTCCGCCCTGTAACACACACCTACTGTCAGTCCTGTAACACACACCTACTGTCAGCCCTGTAACACACACCAACTGTCTGTACACACACACCTTCTGTCAGCCCTGTAACACACACCAGTGTCAGCCCTGTAACACATATCTACTGTCAGCCCTGTAACACACACCGCTTGTCAGCCCTGTAACACATCTCTACTGTCAGTCCCACACACACATCTACTGTCAGCCCTGCCAACACCACACCAACTGTACCAGCCCCGTAACACACACCAACTGTCAGCCCTGTAACACACCTACTGTCAGCCCCGTACACACACATCTGTCAGCCCTGTACTGTCAGCCCCTGTAACACACACCAACTGTCAGCCCCGTAACACACACACCTACTGTCAGCCCTGTAACACACACCTCCTGTCAGCCCTGTAACACACACCAACTGTCAGCCCCACACCAACTGTCAGCCCCGTAACACACACCAACTGTCAGCCCCGTAACACACATCTACTGTCAGCCCCGTAACACACATCTACTGTCAGCCCCGTAACACACATCTACTGTCAGCCCCGTAACACACATCTACTGTCAGTCCTGTAACACACATCTACTGTCAGTCCTGTGTAATCTACATACCGTCAGCCCTGTAACACCTTACACACACACGTGGATAATGTCATTTCCTTTAGCTCATCATTACGGTTACTGGCAGGAGCTCCTTCACGGCTTCATGAGTCAATGAAACCAATCATGTCCTGTGTTCTGTATGCACATAATGCCTTCAATAATTTCCATCTTATGAACAGGACTTGAGGTATACTGTAAATGAACGAAGCGTCCCTGAAGGAAGAGTGTCGACACAGTAACGGAGTTAACCTTTGGTCTGTTTCCACTCTGACGCTCCTCGGAGATAAAAGGCGGACTAGCGACCAGTAGTGTTCATACATTGCTCTTTCCTCGAGTGAGCACCACCTCTGCCATCACCTACAGTACGGCGATACACAATTTCCTCCGCGACAGACCGTCAACCAGGTAATAAGTGAGTCTCGTTCTGTTACTCAGAGTCTTCTACAAATATTTCCTTATAAGAATTAATATCCACCATCACAATAGTTAGTTACAGCATAATAGACTTCGTTTAAGAACTCTTTACTCGTGCCATTTAGCGTAGCAATATTTACGGTACTGTACACCTCATTCCTTTATTAAGAGGAAGCCGTAAAAGGACAAAATACTCGGTAATCAGAGAATGTTATTATATAAGCCAAGATTAGTAACCAAATCTTATTTATGTACCGTACACAGCGGACCGTTTCATCATTTTTATCACTAAAACAAATACTCATTTGAGTAGTACTGAACAGTATGATACGCTGGTCCAGTGCGGCCAAACTTACGGTCACTTCTATGATATTTACCTCAACAGAGTGGCTCCAAAACACAGCAGTGTCACAGTTATTACACAAAAGCACAAAACACTACAAATGAGATTTGATTCCTGTAGAAATATCCAATTTTTATACAATTGACATACACTATACCTAATACTGTATGTCAGTTATTACCATTGTATATTTTCAGCCTCTGGCTGCTGTAATATTCAATAAACCGTTAATTATTATTATTATTATTATTATTATTATTATTATTATTATTATCATTAAGAACATAAGAATATAAGAATGGAGGAAACTGCAGCGGGCCTATTGGCCCATACTGGGCAGTCCCGTTTACACCCAACCCCTATTGCTCATATATGCTGAAGCTATTCAGCGTATTCGAGTTAATGATGATATTTGGTAACTTGTTCCATTCATCCACTACTCTGTTTCCAAACCAGTGTTTACCTATTTCACGCCTAAATCTAAATTTGTCTAATTTAAAACCATTGTTACGAGTTCGCTCCTGGTTGGATAGTTTGAGTACCTTTGTAATGTCCCCTTTGTTTTGCCCTGACTTCCACTTATACACCTCTATCAGGTCGCCCCTCGCTCTACGTCTCTCGAGGGAGTGCAAATTAAGGTGCTTTAACCTGTCTCTATACTCAAGGTTCCTAATGCCCGGGATTAGTCTTGTCATTCTCCTCTGAATTCTTTCCAATGATTCTATATCCATTCTGTAATATGGTGACCAGAACTGAACTGCGTAATCCAGGTGTGGTCTCACAAGAGCAAGATACAGTTTTAGGATGACCTCGCTAGTCTTGTAACTAACACTCCTTTGTATGAACCCAAGTACTTTATTAGCCTTGTTATGAGCAAAAACACATCGTTTACTTGGCTTAAGGTTCCTACGTATCATTACTCCTAAATCTCTCTCGCAGTCGGATTTCTCTATGGCATCGTTGTTCATCTGGTATCTGGTTTCCCTGTTTACATCTCCTATACCGAGTACTTTACGTTTGTCCACGTTGAATTTCATCTGCCACTTTTCAGACCATTCGAAAAATTTGTTTAGATCTTCCTGTAGTTTTGCGGAGTCCTCGTCAGATTTAATTACACATCCTATTTTAGTGTCATCAGCAAATTTACTTATGTTGCTGTCTATGCGGATATCTATGTCGTTTATGTATATAATGAATAATAATGGTCCAAGTACTGAGCCTTGGGGAACTCCACTTGTGACGTTGCTCCAATGGGACTTAGTGCCGTTAATGCTCACTCACTGTTTCCTGTCCTGTAACCACGCCCTAATCCATTTAAGGATGTTACCTTTGATGCCATGAACTTCTACCTTTCTAATTAGTCTTTCGTGGGGGACTCTGTCGAAGGCTTTGCTAAAGTCGAGATATACCACATCATAATTGTGCCCCTCGTCCACAGATTCGAAAACTGATGGAAAGAATGTTAATAGATTAGTTAGACAAGAACGTCCGCTTGTGAAGCCATGCTGGGAATCATTGATCAAGCGGTGCTTCTCCAGGTGATTTCGAATAGAGTTTGAAATGATTGCTTCCAGTAATTTGCCTACTATTGATGCTAGACTGATTGGGCGATAGTTAGAGGATAGTGATCTATCCCCCTTCTTGAAAATCGTATTACATTCGCTATCCTCCAGGATTCTGGTACTACACCTGTTTTTAAGGACATGTTAAACAACTTAGCTAAGGGTATACTAAGCTCTTCCTTACATTCCTTTAATACTCTGGCAAATATCTCATCGGGACCAGGTGACATATTAGGCTTTAGTTTGTCTATGTGCTTACTAACATCGTTACTAGTCACTACTATCTCGCTTAATTTGTTTTCTTCACTATCTCTGAATAGAGTCGGTGCCTCGGGTATCATGTTTAAATTTTCGGTGGTGAAAACTGTTGAAAAATATTTATTTAAATTATTGCTCATTTCTCCATCGTTATCAGTGAACTCGCCGGTATCTGATAGTATTGGTCCAATCTTTTCTCGTGTTTTAGTTTGATACATTTGGTAGAATCCTTTGGGGTTTGTCTTTGCCTCCCTTGCTATCCTTACCTCATTATTCCTCTTGGCTTTCCTTATCTCGGTTTTAACCCTACTCGCCAATATCTTATAATAATCCTGGAGGTAAATTTCGCCACGCTTTATCCTTCTACCTATAGCCTTCCTTTGGCCAATGATGTTCTTTAAATAATTATTTATCCATTTAGGGTCATTGTTGTCTGATCTGAGTTTTTTGTATGGTATGTTCTGCCACTGTGCATTAAGTAACTCATTATTTAAATTGACGTGGAACTCGGCAGTCTCAGATGTCGTTATCAGGTCGGAGTCATCTGTCAGGTTCACGGCCAAGCGCGACACCCCCTCTCTCAGCTGCCTCTTTAAACTGTCGAAGTTTACCCTTCTGAAATCTGGTACTTTAGTGGAATTTTCCTTACGTTTGCCCTGAAAGTCTAACTAGAATCGAATTTCTTTGTGATCGCTGTTTGCAAGTTCGTTCCCTACTTCGACATTGCTAATGAGGTTTTCTCTGTTCGACAGAACTAAATCGAGTATATTATTACCCCGTGTGGGTCCGGTTATATGTTGACTTAGGAAACAGTCCTGGATCGTCTCGAGAAAATCCTCTGATTCTGAGTTACCCGTAAGGTCAGTCCAATCTATTTGGCCAAGGTTAAAGTCGCCTACTATACAGACTTTATTGTGTATGGAAGCCCTGAGCATTTCATCCCAGATAAGTTGCTCATTGACTCTATCAAGATTGGGAGGTCTATATATTACTCCTGTGATTAATTTTTCCCGACGGTCGCTTAATTCTATCCAAATTGTTTCTGTATTCCTCTCAGTTTTTATTCCCTTATTTATTTCACACTTCAGATTATCCCTAACATAGATTGCAACTCCGCCTCCTTTCCTGGTTTGCCTATAGGTATGGAACAATTTGTAACCTGCAATTTGGTATTCGACCGGCAACTCGCGTGAGTCTAGGTTGATCCATGTTTCAGTGAATTCTATTATATCGATTTTTTCGGGACATACCAAGGCCCTAATATCATCCATTTTGTTTCTCATACTTCTACTGTTCGCGTAGTAGACATTTAAGTTAGTCGTGTTCTGAGTCCTCCCTTTACCGAGTTTAGTTTTAAACTCCCTGTTTAATTTAGTTTTGTCATCATTCCTAACACTATTTCCCTGTAATCTTTTACTTTGTTTACCCGCTCCCACTGCAGTTTCACCCACCCCTGTGCCCATATGTCCCCCTAGCAGTTTAAATACTTCGATATCCTTTGAACTGCCCCCTCTAGAGACCCAGCCAGGGTTGCCACCCCATCCCGAGACAGGAGCACCCCATCCCTAGCATAAAGGTCCCTTCTGCCGTAGAAGTTGTCCCAGCTGTCGATGAATGGGACAGATATTGACTTGCAATATCTGTCAAGACGGTCGTTGACACCAACCGCCCTTGACAACCATTCACTGCCAACTCTCCTTCTAGGCAGGACACTGCATATGATAGGGATCCCTCCCTTAGACCTAATACGATCTATCGCTGCCTTGAACTTATCAAGAAGCTCCTCGCTCCTACACCGGCCAATATCATTGCCTCCTGCACTGAGGCAGATAATTTGGGTTTGTTCCCATTACCAGACAAGATATTGTCCATCCTGTCAATTATATCCTCCACTCCAGCTCCTGGCAAACACATACGTTATCCCCTCAGCGTGTGTGCAGGCAGGGCTGTGTGTGTGAACCACCTGTGATCATTACGGAGGTATACAATGAAAGACAAAAGTCGTGTCGTGAAATTTGGTGACAACATGTATCGAAGGGCTAAACTTTTGGTGCGCTCTGCCTTGTGGTAGGGGGGCTCTCATAATGTTTCACGAGTTGTATTTAATCTTCGGACAAAACCGTGACACGACTTTTGTCTTTGATTGTACACACTGGGTTTGGAGGAAATGGATTCTCAGTGTGTTGTCCATGTTAACACAGTCACCTGAAGGCCCACCTTAACCTATGATAATAAAAATAATAAAAATAATAAAAAATAAAAAATAATAATAATAATAATAATAAAAATAATAAAAATAACAATAAAAAAAAATAATAATAATAAATAATAAATATATATAATAATAATAATAATAATAATAAATAATAATAATAATAATAATAATAATAAAAATAATAACTTATTATTATTATTATTCAGTAAAGGTTAACAATATGATAAACAGGAATATAAACGCTCCAGGTACACAGTTGAGCATGAATATCGACAATGTACTGTAGGTATAGGGTGCAGGTAGGCCGTGGGAGTATACAGTTACCTGTGAACCGAGACAGTGTAGGTAAACAGTAAGGCAACTTGACTAAGGATAGTCGACAAAGGTGGCAGGTGTTTTTACCAGGAGGGTCCGTTACGAAGGCTTACACTTGGTCTCTAATCAGTACTCGAGTGTCTACAGGAGTATTAGTGACAACAGAAAATTTGTTGCCTGTGTACCACGTGTAGGATTTTTAACGTTAGTCGCGATTGTATATTTGAAATTTCATCCTCCACCGACTGGAGATACAGACTAGGCCGGGAGGCATACAGCCACAAAATCATTGCCATAGGACCAGATTGTAATTTTTAATTTTTAGAGTTGTGCTCATGGCTGATTGACCAACCAAATGCCAACCAGAGAGTGTAGTACTGTGCCATTAGTTAAGACAGTTCATAGTGACATCAGTGACCACGGAGGAGGTTGTAAGAAGTGAAGAACAAATTGAGACAAGTAAGCAGGCACCACTGCTGGCAGTAACCAAGCCCAATGATTGGTGCCACAAATATTTTTTTGTACTTTCTCAAGGACTGAAACTGTGCCTACAATCCACAATTCATAGGCAGATACAGTGTACACAGTGATAGCAAAAAGAGATATATTCGTTAATGAGAACTGGAACCCTCAAACAGTCATCCTAATTCTGTTGGTTGTAGCACTTGTGAGTACGTTACCTCCCCCCCCCCCACTATTATAATGTTCTTAGATCTTCTTTTTTCACACCTCAGTGACCCTGAGTTTTTACTGTTCCTTAATCAGTATCAATGTCTCCTCAATAATGATGCTAGTGTCATTCCCTTAGATGTGCTAGATCGTATGTGTTACACCCCCTTTACCCATGGTGTCAACACAATACTCCCTCATATCGATCCTGATGTCTTTCTACACAACTCACTGGGTTACACCAACCCAAACTGTAACTATTACTTTCCTGACTCTCCCGAGTTTAGTTCTAGTCTCCTACTACCTCAATCCTTCTCTTTGATTAGCCATAACATCAGCAGTATTCCCCTCCACCTAGATATCTTTTTAGATCAGTGTTTATCTTCTATTGCCCACAAATTTGATGTACTTGGATTCTGTGAGACCAAACTCACTAACGATATTGACCATTTGTATAACATTCCTAATTATAATAGACACTGCGTCAACACGTTACGACACAGTAGTGGAGTCGCCCTTTATGTTGATATCAAGTAATACACTTCGGTAAGAGATGATTTAAAGGTTCAGGAGGAGTTCATGGAGAGTGTTTTCATTGGATTACGTAACGACACACGAAATATCCTAGTAGGGATAATCTACAGAAGACCCCACACTGATGCAAGGAATTTTCTTGATAAATTTTAGGAGCTTATCTCTATCATAAGTTCAGAGAGGAAAGACTGCTACATCACAGGAGATTTCAACCTTGATCTATTAAAATTAGAAACCGACACCTTCTTGCTATCTGTCATTCTAAACTCTTCTTCAACACTATAACCAAACCCACTAGAGTAACTGCCACCTCTGCCACTATGATAGATCATATCTGGACTAACAACACTCCTAACAACCTAGCAAGTGGAATTATTTATAACAATATCTCAGATCACTTCCCAGTTTTTGCCATGTATAAAACAGCCACAAGACCTGAAAGGTCTAGTAGAGTCTCAATACAATACAGAGACTACTGCGCCGACAACATGCTCCTTTTTGAAAACAACCTAATGAATGCTAACTGGGATCTTGTCTATGCCTCCAATAACCCTAACGTGAACAGCAGTAACTTCTCTTGCATCTTCAATGCTTGCTTTGATAAATGCTTCCCGCTCAAGACTAAGTCTGATGTAGAGTGTGAGAAAAGTGTGTGCGAGTCTTCCGATGATAATTATACAACAACTACTGATGAGTATCTGTACCAGAGCTGATACTACTGTAGAATATTAAGACGCTTCCTTCCTAATGGAGGGACAGATAACAGAAAAAGATGCTATCATATAGTGCCTTCTGCTTCTTATCAAATATAGTACATTATGGCCAGTGTTAAAACCAGACAAAGATACAGAGCGGTGAAGGTGGTGAGTTGGGACATCTCATCACCCAGAAAACTATACCCTGACCTACACCACAAAGATGTGACTGAGGACCTACAGACTGGGTCTCAGATGGCACAGCACTTTATTTTTAATGGCAAGACAACTGACAGGACAGCTGACATATTAAGATTGGATGTTTTTTAACTTAGTAGGAGTCCATTCTTACCTACACACACACACACCAGTAACAGTGGCTCGGGTCCAACGGCCTAATAAACTTCCTGCAGAACATAACACCACGATAATACATCTCTTACTGACGCTGTGAGTTACTTACAGGTGCAGGATGACTGTGGAGGGTGTGGGCTGGCGGCCTGCGTCAGTAGTGATGATGGCGGTGATGCTGAGTGTGGTGGCTGGCCAAGACTCGCTCTTATACCCCTCCGATGTTCCCATCTCCATGGGTGAGACTCTCACCACCAGTACAGGTAACAACAATTATCCTCTCAACTTTCACTTAACTAAATGTTTGATAATTATACCAACATACGTAACCTATTATGGTATACATGTGCGCCACACACTATGGTATACATGTGTGTCACACACTATGGTATACATGTGTGTCACACACTATGGTATACGTGTGTGTCACACACTATGGTATACGTGTGTGTCACACACTATGGTATACATGTGTGTCACACACTATGGTATACGTGAGTGTCATACACTATGGTATACGTGTGTGTCACACACTATGGTATACATGTGTGTCACACACTATGGTATACATGTGTGTCACACACTATGGTATACTTGTGTGTCACACACTATGGTATACGTGTGTGTCACACACTATGGTATACATGTGTGTCACACACTATAGTATACATGTGTGTCACACACTATGGTATACGTGTGTGTCATACACTATGGTATACGTGTGTGTCACACACTATGGTATACATGTGTGTCACACAATATGGTATACATGTGTGTCACACACTATGGTATACGTGAGTGTCATACACTATGGTATACGTGTGTGTCATACACTCTGGTATACGTGTGTGTCACACACTATGGTATACGTGTGTGTCATACACTATGGTATACGTGAGTGTCATACACTATGGTATACGTGTGTGTCACACACTATGGTATACGTGTGTGTCACACACTATGGTATACGTGAGTGTCATACACTATGGTATACGTGTGTGTCACACACTATGGTATACATGTGTGTCACACACTATGGTATACATGTGTGTCACACACTATGGTATACATGTGTGTCACACACTATGGTATACGTGTGTGTCATACACTATGGTATACATGTGTGTCACACACTATGGTATACATGTGTGTCACACACTATGGTATACATGTGTGTCACACACTATGGTATACATGTGTGTCATACACTATGGTATACATGTGTGTCACACACTATGGTATACATGTGTGTCACACACTATGGTATACGTGTGTATGCTATCAGACTCCTAATATGTTATATACATAGTTAAGCCTTGTAGTTATCACCCAGATTTTCCCCGTATGAGAGCGTGATTGCGGTGTACACGTATATAAAGTGCATAAAGAAGGGCTATTACAACATGGGGGGCTGTTGTATGGATGCCTTGTGGGCTATGTCCCATGAGCGAGCGTCCTGCGGCATCGAGCGACAAGGGTGTAGACGAACGACCTACTTTCCAAAGCGACCTGCGTCCCACCTGCCATCGTTTGCTTATACTTTTAGAAAATAATGCTTTTAAACGTGGGGTACCTGCAGACGTACCCAGGAAAAAACATCCCATATAACAGAGGAGGATGGAAGTAGGTGAATTTGATCATCTTTACAAGGAACCTCGCCAAGATATAAAGAAGCTTCACGAGTACACCAGAATGTATTCTACCACATTTGACCTCATCCTTGAAAACAGTCGACCACCAGAGATACTAAACAAGTCTCTGCATAATTTTATTCAATAGTTATGATCATCTTAATATTTTCGGTAGTGGTCTAGGATTACAGTAGCCAAGATATTATATTATAACTTGCCCCTGACTTAATACATATATTTGTGAATGAACTGGTATATGATATTTTTTTAACTTACTGTTAATTTTCAAAGCCGTGGCAACATTCTCCCATTGCTTGTCAACAGCATTGCGATTGTGGTACCGTTATTCCTCTTTCCTGTAGTCCCATAAAACGGGCCACTGAAAGCCTTCAGCAATCAAAGATTCAAGAAAATCCATGACCGTGGGTGGATAACGGTCTGCTCCTGCAGCGAAAATTCGCGCACGTCTAAGTAGGACACATCAGAGAAAACACACACGTTTGTCTGCTACACCAAGGTTTACTCGTGTGGTCGCCCGATGCCGCACGACGCTCGCACAGGGGTCATAGCCTTTAATGTGATGTCACTTGACTCCTCAATGAAACGTCCCTCTATTATTGTTCTCGTCACACTGCTGAAGGTCGAAAATATACTGCCCTCGTTTGTGTTTGGTCTCCCACAGTGGAAGTTCAGTGTTATGATTCATAGTCATCAAATGTGGTAGATGGTGTATGATAACATTACGAGTGTTCCTGCAGGTGAACTGAAGGTGGAAGACGTGACTCACACAACACCCCTCGGGACGGTGCTCGGGGTCAAGGAACGCACTAAGGGCATCAATCCCACCAACACATATTACTATGCCTTCAGGTGAGTGAGTCTTATTACTGTTTTTACTTGACACACTCCTAATATCCACCAAGACAAAGGCCTCAGTTGTAGATGTTGCTAAAACTGATAAATGATACAAAGTTTTCAGATCAACAAGGTAAACACTTTACCGCACGCTCCAAACTTCATAAAGTGATCCCATGATATGGGAGCAACCAATTTACTCACATGAGGGTAGAGCTGAGGCATAGTACCATGCTTCAGGAACACGTGACCCGTGGATATCACTAACCAGGGATGAGGAGGAGTCAATTTATATTCTCTTAAATTGTCAGAGGCTAAGACACGGTATGTTATTACATTATGAAAACGACAATATAACCATATAAGAATAACAATTAATATGTAACCATAACCCAACGACACCGAGACCCTAACACCAAAGTTCTAATGGGATATGTGACTACCTCTACATCATCATGGTAAAACATACTAGTAAGTGCAGGGACCAGCCTTCATAACTCAGTAAACATTCCTCTCCCTGGCGCTAACATTTGTCTTCTATACTTCAACCTCTCGTCCCTGAGCGCGAACACCTCCACTGTCCAGTCTTATTGGACAAGGTGGACCGGACTGTCTATCACCTCTTGTCAGATATTTCCTTACCCAGGACATTTATAAGGTGTTAGTTATCAAAATAGGCAAAGTTGTGAGCATGGCAAGCATTAGTGGAGCACGGCGAGCGTTAGTGGGGTTCCCCAGGGGTCAGTACTAGGCCCACTCTTGTTCATAATCTACATAAACGATCTAGATACTGGGATCAGCAGTGACATAAGCAAGTTTGCGGATGACACCAAAATAGGACGGCAGATTAATTCAGGGCAGGATGCAAATGCATTACAGGAGGATCTAAATAAACTGCAGGGGTGGTCTGAAAAATGACAAATGAAATTCAACACCAGCAAGTGCAGCGTATTTAATATTGGAAGAACAAATACTGTCAATGTATACAGCCATAACAACATCAACCTAGAGAAGTCGACTTGTGAAAGAGACCTAGGGGTACTTGTAAGCCCGGACCTACGGCTTAGAAAACAGTGCGTTAATGTTCGAAATAAGGCAAACAGAGTATTGGGTTTTATATCTAGAAGTGTAAGTAATAAGAGTGTAGAGGTCTTATTGCAACTATATCTTGCGCTAGTCAGGCCGCACCTTGATTATGCGGTTCAGTTCTGGTGCCCTTATTATAGAATGGATATCAATTCACTAGAGTCGGTGCAGCGAAGAATGACGAAAATGATTCCGGGACTTAGAAACCTTCCATATCAGGATAGGTTAAAGAAACTAAACTTGTATTCCCTAGAAAGACGAAGAGTGCGGGGAGATATGATAGAAGTATTCAAGTGGGTGAAAGGAATCAATAAAGGTGATATAGATAAAGTTCTTATAATATCCGAGCAGGATAGGACTCGGAACAACGGATTCAAGTTGGATAAGTTTAGGTTTAGGAGGGAGATAGGAAGGAACTGGTTCACAGATAGGGTGGTGGACGAGTGGAACAAGCTTAGCAACTTTGTAGTAAGTACTGGAACGCTGGAAAGTTTCAAAGGGAGGCTGGATAGATTAATGGATGATAGAGTGGTAGTAACTCTCGACAGGAGCTGCCATGCACAGGCCAACCGGCCTATTGCAGACTCCTTATTTTCTTATGTTCTTATTTTCTTATGACCAGACAATACTGGTCACGCGTCTCACAATAAAAATCATGTTACTCTGTTTAGGCGAAAGTTTCCACAGTATCCTTTACATCTTCCCTAGAGGAATCCCCTTCGCTGAGCCACCGGTCGGAGGTCTGCGGTGGGCTGATCCAGTCGACCTGTTGGGGACATGGCCGGGAGGACACCTGAACGCCACCACCTACCGCTCCTTCTGTCCCCAGTACAACACTCAGAGTGGTAGAGTCTTGGGCTCTGAGGACTGCCTCTTCCTCAACGTGTTCACCCCTAACCTACCTGGTGAGTCTACCTGTCTGGTCAATGTTGCTTTGTACACCTGTCTGGCAAGTCTTATTAACATAGCTATCCGTCTCGTCAGCCAGTGTCTATGTAGCCTGTAACCAAGCTAACAACACAAACAAGCTCCTTCTTACCCCTGTTTATTCTTTTACTTATTCTTTATTTGTCTGTAGAATCTTAATAGTTCCTTGTCACCCCTTTCCCTCTCCCAAAACTTTCTAGTTCTCCTCTTCACTATTTAACAGCTTCCTTTATCACTTCAGTGCTTTTAAACACCCAAAACGCCTTAAAAGCTTTCTAAATTCTTGAAATCTAATATTTTAATTGTACTTTTCCACCAAAAAGTTTTGAGACAGCTCACCTTATTTTTTTTTGTAAATAACAGATATGATATGTGTGAAGGATACTGTTAGTGTGGAGAGAGGGAGTTGCGCAGGTAAGAAATCACCACACTCAGGTAAGGTCAAATGTGTTTCTGTGAGACCTGATGGTGGCTGACAAAGTGCTAACTTCACCAAAGTTAGTAAGCTTGGAGGTTCCCGGGGCAGGGAGAGAGAATAGAGAGGAGAAACACATATACTGGGAGACAACCCCATAGTTCATTTCAGCAGAGTGCACGACGTAGGTAAGCTTAATACTAGTGCCTAGGTCCGCAGTAAGCTACAGGGAAGCTCTAGACAAGATTAGGGTGAAGGGTGGAACCCTATTGCTTGCCTCTATCCTGCTCCAGACGTGGTGCCAGTTTAATGATGTCCGTGCAATCGGTTTCAATTACATGGCTGGAAGAAGAACAGTGTGAGCTGTCGACGCCATTCATTGAAAATTGGAACCAGTACTATGGTAAATATAGTATGTATATGGATGGGGTGCATTTATGAGAAGGGGTGGTAAAAAGAAGGAAGATAGCTGACAGGGTAGTAAAGGTGGGTTCTTAATAGTCCAAATCCCATCAATGGTAAAGAGAGTGAAAAACACTATGAAAAAACAACAGTGAAACAGGAAGTAGATAATGCTGAAAATATAGTTAGTCATATTAACAAACATCAAAGTAATAAAATGTGGAAACAGAGGAAGAAACGGAAGAAACATATTGAGTGTTTATTATACTAATAGTAGAAGCTAGTAACAAAATGGACTAGCCTGTATTTTTCATTGTTGGTGAAGAGAACATAGATATAATTGGCAATAACGGAAACATGGATGTTCAAACAGGCAAAATATTTTTAGCAGAATTTCACATTCCAGGATATGTCCTATTTAAATTTGGACAGAGTAGGGAATGAGAGGAAGTGTAGCAGTGTATATCAGGGTGTCATTAAAAAGCTGCAACAAATCAAAACACAAAAACAAATAGCTACAACAGTATTTTTGGGGAGAGATTGCGAGGGCAGTGAACCTGTAGTCATTATTGGAAAAGGTGGTATCGCCTAATTTGGGGAACGATGGTAAAATCAGCGTGAAGTAAAATATGAAGGCATCTGATAGAAAACAATGTATGTATTCTAAAGATTTTCAACTTTTCTAGGCTTAGATTGGAAAAACTAACTCTAGCGTATAATGAATCTGAAGATTTTCTAGAAGTAGTACAAGAAGATAGTTTTTACATCAACTACAAACTCGCCCACTAGATAAAAGGTTAACTGATTTAGTTCTGTAATACGAAATCTAAAGATGCGATTGGAGAGACGAATAGGAAACAGTGACTGGTAAAGCCACATATTTTTGAGTCATAATATGAATGGTAGTGAAGAATGGTACCCGGGCCCTTGAATCCTGATTTTGTAACAGGCTAATTACTTGTAGCTTGGTTGAGAGACCTGGCGATGACCTGTTGGTCAAAGATTAATCCCCACACCGGCAGAAACTGTCAACTTAGACTTCGAAATTAATTTACTGGAAGCTACTTAAGAATGGGTCACAGTATAAATCACACGTTGTACAAACAGGACCCCAAAAGAAAATTCAGATCGACATGGAAACCAAGCCAAATGGATGAATATTGTTCTGATTTTCAGTGGAAAGAAAAGGAGTATAGAAAAGTGGAAAAGGCGGTGTCACTTGTTACTATCAGAACCCAATAAGGTAAAAATAAAATTAGAAAAGCAAAGAGAAATGCGAACTGGTAGCAAATGAATTAGAAAAATAACCCAAAGCTTTTATCAATGGTATAACCAAAAGGAGATACAGGTCCCTTAAAATCATTTATGAGAGAAATGACTGATGATGAGTTAGAAATGTGTAGTACGTTAAATAGTCATTTTCATTCTCAGATTCGTAAAATGAAACCTAGCACAGTTTCCTGGAAGTCTCAGTAGTAGGTGTTATGTATGATGAAATATCACACACAAAATTTGAAAGCTAAAGTAATTAACAAACGAAAGTTTCATACCTGCCTGGTCCAGACAGGAAGAAATACAGTGCAATGGAGATGAGTTGAGTAAACTGTTAGTGTTTATTTAAGGTTGCTAAATGTTTTAGTGCCAGAAGCTTGGAAACTTGCAAATGTAGTTCCTGATTTTCAAAAATGTGATAAATCAATTGCATCAAATAACAAGTCCACAGTTCAATTGCAGTGTTGCTAGAGTCACAGCATGAAAATAAAGCCAATTTTGAAACATTCAACTTAATCTATTCTTTCAGCACGGGTTCAATTTAGGATGTCTTCATACTTTGCTTTTTCGAGAAGATATGAAGAGGTAGATAATGACGCGTCAAAGGATATAACTTCTACTTAGATTTCAGTAAAGCTATCTGATAGAGTCCCCTCATGAGAGATTGACAAGGAAGGCAGAAGGCGGTGAACAGGATTGATGGGAAGCTGGATGAGGGTCATGGTTAACTGGTAGGAAACAAAGAGTCAGCATAATGGACGGTGGTCAGATTGCGCGGCCAAAAGCGGTTTTCAGGATCTGTAATAGGCCTCGCCGTTTGTTATATTCATTAATGATCTTGATTAGGTATGTCTATGGTGATTAGTAAATTTGCAGAACATAACAAAATGGGAGAGTGATAACTAAGATGAAAAGACTTTGAACACCTTTTCACACCTTCAAAGAGATTCAGATTCTTACATGAGTGGCTCAAGACTGGCAAACGAATTTTAATAGTGATAAATGCAAGGTACCACAATAGGGAAGACTTAAATACAAATCATAAACCAGTAACACTGAAATAGAAAACCTCACAGTAAAAAACAAGGTATTTGTTAGCAACGACTTTGAAACTAGAAAAACAATGACCAGCCCTGCAACAAGGCAAACAGGATTCTTGAGTCCATATCTAGTCTGTGAGTAACAGAACTGCTGACGTTATCTTGAAAACTTTACTCAGCATTAGTGAGTTGCCAATATTAGGATTATGAGTTCAATTCTGCGTGTCCTATTATAGAATGGACATAGACTTTCGGAGAGAGTACAAAGAAGAATGACAAAATGATCCATAATATTAGAACCCTTCCATATGAAGAAAGACTCGAAAAGCTTAGCTTATCTATTAGAGAGGCGAAAGGAGATATGATAGGTGTACAAGTGGTAAGTGATTAACAGGGTAAAATGGAAGATGTCTCTGCACAGCAATAAAAACTAGAACAAATGGTTTTAAATTAGATAAATCTCATCTTAGATATAGCAAGCACTGTTTGTAATAGAGTTGTGATATGTGAATAGGCTACCGATAGTAGGATCGGGGAGCTTCAAGACCTGATAATGGAAGCTCGATGGTGAAAGGATCTGTATGGGCCAGTCGCCCTCCCGCATCCACTCCAGTTCCAGTTCTGTACCCCACAATCTTCACACATCTCACCCCACACCACCACCACATTTCCCACATCACACCTCTCACCACATCCCACTTCACAATCTCATCCCACCCCCTCACAACTTCCAACTACATCCCCCACACAATCTCACCACACATCCCTCACACACAACCTTCACTACATCCCCACTCACAACCTTCACATACACCACACCACCTCACTACACTCACATCATGACCCTTCAACACCACACTGCACAATCTCACCACACATCACACCACCACACTCTCACTCACATCTCACCACACCCCACTCCACACCCTTCACCACATCCCACTCTCACAATCTTCACCACATCCCACTCCACACCCCACCACATCTCCACTTCACACCTTCACTACATCTCAACTTCACAATCTTCACTACATCCCCACTTCCACACCTCATCACCACATCCTCACTCTCACACACCTTCACATCTCACTTCACAATCTTCACTACACATCCCACTCTCACACCACTACATCCTCACATCCTCACACCCACCACTTCAATTCACATAATACCACTGTAAATTTTCTTGTGCCAGAGTCAGCCAAGGACAATAACAAGGAAGGACTGCTGCCCGTGTTCGTGTTCATCCATGGAGGAGCTTACATACGAGGTTCCTCGAATGCCTTCGGTCCTTCCCGCCTCATGGCCCATGACATAGTTCTAGTTACTATCAACTATCGCCTGGGAGCTTTGGGTGAGTTTCTCCCGAGACATACTTTGGTATCGGTCAAGTCTTGAAAACTTGTTTAAAAAGAACAGATGAAATGACGGACAAAGAGTTTGTGAAAAGTAAATTAAGCGCCTAAATATTATACAGGATACCTGACGACGGAAGATGAGACACTGGCAGGTAACTATGGCACCCTGGACCAGGTGTCTGCTCTCCGCTGGGTGCAGGCCAACATTGTTCACTTCGGTGGCGATCCTTCACGAGTCACCATAGGAGGATTTTCAGCTGGGTCAGCCTCTGTCCACTTACATATGCTGTCTCCACTCTCACAAGGTTAGTACACGGTGTCTCCACTCTCACAAGGTTAGTACACGGTGTCTCCACTCTCACAAGGTTAGTACACGGTGTCTCCACTCTCACAAGGTTAGTCCACGGTGTCTCCACTCTCACTGGGCTAACATACTGTATAGTATAGCCATTACTTCAAGGACAACGCCTTACCTTCACTAAGTCAGCACATACATAGTTCACTTCTCTTGACATGATGCCCTTCCTCCGACAAGATGGTGTCAACAATCTCTCAAGCTAAGTCAATATTTATCCCTGTTGTGGTGTACAGCAGCGCTTCTCAAACTATCTGATGTGGCGGACCGGCATGGTCTTTTCAATGTGTCACGGACCGGCGAGCGAAGCGAGCCAATCCCGGGGCCTATAGGCCCCCCCCCCCCAGGAAAATCTTTTGAGATTTGTCCCACAATAATTTTTTGTTTTTCAAATTTACACAGGAATAGTGTGAACCGGCCTTTAAGATTATTAGTACTTACATTTTCAGATCAGTGGGTTGGGATGGGGTCCCAAATGACAAACACGCAGATACCCGTATGATGCTCTGTTCCACTTCTTGATGGTAACTAACCACTGACCTGTGACCTGACATCACAGACTGCTGATCCACACGTGTGGAATAGCAGGGTTGCCAGCTGTGTGACACCCTTCACGGCTGGCAAGCATAGTAAAAAATCGGCCATTTCTTTTAATGGGATGCATACATTTATTTTATCCGAAATTAAATAACTACCATACTTAAAATAAAAAGATTTATGTTTTGGGTGGATATGGCGTAACTGGTGGCCGAGAAACGTGGCAATTCTGGCAACACAAGGTGCTGCGCCCTATTGATATCCCCAGGTGTGGTTCCCACAGAGTCAAACGCCACATCATCATGAAGGTGTTGTTATACGTATTTCAGTTTGCTGTTCATTATATCGCATTCGTTAGTTGCATAGCAATGACTTTTAACATGAGTGAGTAAATGAAAAATATAGCTATAATAAATATAAAAACTACAATGAAAATGTAAAAAAAAAAAGACCGAGTCAGATGTCCCGGCAGTGTCACGTGGTGTGGAACGTGACTATCGTTTCTTTCTTTTCTGAAAACTCTCCGCGTACCGGCAGACGATGGCTCACGGACCGGCACCGGTCCGCGGACCACACTTTGAGTAGCAATGGTGTACAGTACTGTAGATGGCGTCGTTCAAATATTCACCTGAAAATATTATGGGAATCATTGGCTTTAATGGATCATTATCTTCATAGATGTCATCATACTCGGTGGACAGGTCTGTTCCACGGGTGCATCATGATGAGCGGCAGCAGCAGCTCTTCGTGGGGGTTGCAGGAACACAGAAAGAGCACTGCCGTTCAACTGGGACAGAAGCTGAGCTGCCCTTCCTCCCCGTCTGCTGCCCTCAAGTCCTGTCTCATTGGCGTCTCCACCAACGACCTCATCATAGCTCAGGCCGCCATGAACGTGAGTTCTTTCTTCCTTTACTATACAGAAGTACTTGTCTCTCACAGTAGGTACAGTAGTAGGTACGGCTCGCTTGTGTATAGGTCACATTGTCACGACACACCCTCGTGTGTATATCCCTGAGCGTACACCACAACAAAGTTGAATCAAAATAAAAGATTATAATATATATATATATATATATATATATATATATATATATATATATATATATATATATATATATATATATATATATATATAAATCACACGGGAAAATGGAAACAACGGAGTACCTTAGCTTTCGTCTTTATTCAAGACATCTTCAGAGGCAACTGGATTACATGGACAGAGAGAGGCTTAAATATACAGGGTGACCTAAAAACATGAGGTCAGGTCATAATGATGACATCCACTAATCCCCACACCAACACACACGTAGAGGAGCTTAAGAGAAGGGTGGTGACGTGACTAGCCAGGTCAGGTCAGAAAAAAGGGACCCACAAAATAACTATCATACATCTAGATCAAAGGTTTTCAAAGCATGGGTAATTGTCTTTCTGCTCCTCTAGCCTGTATTTATATGGAGTTTTTTGAGTCTAGATTACTACCCAATATAGTGGACTTTATTCCTCCATGGTATAGATATGTAGATGATGTTCTTTGTCTTTGGCCTATAAACAGGTTGGATGCTTCTATGAGCAATAGGGGTTGGGTGTAAACGGGACTGCCCAGTATGAGACAATAGGCCCGCTGCAGTTTCCTCCATTCTTATATATATATATATATATATATATATATATATATATATATATATATATATATATATATATATATATATATATATATATATTGATAGTATATGGTTACTCTATGATGTCACATGGATTGTTAATTTTCGTCACTTTCTCATAAATCCGGTATACTCGGCTCTCTTTACGTGACATTTGGGTAATAAACGAAGATCCAATATTGAGTCGTTTTTATACTTACTGTTCAGCTGCTTTACAACACTGAGCTGATGTTTACCATCAAGCATAATGAGTTGTTCGTCTTTCGATGGTGTTGTGTACGGCCAATATTTCCAACAATGAGACAGCTGCACCAACTGTATACTGTATATGTTTGAGTATCTTCAGGTGATATTTAAGAGTCCTGTTGGTTTTGGTAATGGTGGAACTGTTTGTGTGGTGGTAGATGGCCACTGTGAAACATGGATTTTGTTCATGTTTCCGTAAACAGCGCCCTGGAGCAAGGTGTGTCCTGGGATAGGTAGGTAGGTGGCTGCCGAGACGGTAGTGTTCCTCTTGAATCATGGAAACCTTCGCGGTTCTGTTAAGCTCACTAACCTGGATGACTACATTGTACGACATACCTCTCCACTAACATGAGCCTCCTCTTGCTTTATACACCCGCCCTCACTGTGTGTACCTACAGTACCAGTATGGACACAGTGCTGTTCCTGCAGACGTGGTAACTTCTGGGTGAACCATAACACACAGTTACTCACCAAACACTTCATTAACTCCACTTGGAGTGTGAGGATAACTCGTTAACGCCTGCTTGTGTGTGCCACAGGACACACACACGTCTGCTTCTGAGCACACAGGCCCCTCACATGACTCCTCTTTGTCCTCTTCAAGGAAGTTATGTGGACCGAGAACACAGCCTTGTGTCCCACCTCCAGGGCTCCACCTTACAACTTTCCACCTATGAGCTGATTGTGTCAAACTCCTCTTCAGAGGTTGACACGAACATATGCTAACTATCCGTGAACAAAAATTTTCACCTCGCCCAAGTCAAGATGACTACCGCTACTTCCCGCTTCGTTTACGCCTCATAACACAGGTTAAGACTGGCGGGATCATCTCCTTGCCCCCAGGACGAACCAGACAGAACTTTTAAGATCTCTACCTCTCTCCTCGCTCGCTACGAGGTGTGTCTGTATCACCCTCGCATAAATATACCCAGTTCCTCCTTTACGTCGAAATGGAAAACTAGTCAACGGATTGGTTGCCATCTGGAGTCTTCCAAACCCTCCCTCCTCCTCCAGTCTTTCATCCTGCGAACTAGGTAAGATGGAGAACGAAGTGCCAAGGTCGTACAAGTGCTGTTGGCTCGGTCATATCTCCCCCTCCCTGCTGCTGCTGCTATACCATGGTGGAATGTGTCTGGTACACTGTCACCCTTTGTCGCCATAGATCGTGAAATAAAAACTTGTCAGCTTAGTAAATGAAATTCTCTTGTGGCTTCCCTATGTCGTGCCTGGCCAGGTGTTCTTCAGTGAGTTAACCGCATTTTGGGTAGAAGTGAGTTTAAAGAAGCGTATTTATTACTTTACAGATTTCAATAACATTTGTCACATGTTAAGTACCATAGTAAGCTGCTGCACATGTACATTTCTGTCACATTAATTATGACCTAGAATTTTTTAACTAACTCTATCTCTCCTCTTAGATACTAACTATATAAATCTTCACTTCTTAACAGTTTCCCAATTTAGTATACTGTTTTAAAGTGAACGTAAAGCAAGGTGTGGTATGACTTGAAGAAATAACATTAGTTTCAATTACAGAGGTATGAGTTCTGGCCCTTCCAATTTTGTCCCGTGATTGACGCGGGACTGAGGAAGTCAGCACTGTTGCCTGGCCCCTTTGATTCCCTTAAGCCATCAAAAGTCCCAGTGCTCCTGGGCTCCGTGCCCGACGAGGGGCTTCTCTTCGCAGGATGTAAGTTTTAATATAACCAACTTAGGACAGATGAGTTACAGCTAACGTTAAAAGAGGTACAGTCGGGAACAAAAGCTTGCTCCCTCATATAAAATGAAACAGCATGACCTCAATGTGATAAAACAGCACACCTGCACCAGAAGACAGAGTAAGTAAGTTCGGAGACCCATTCCCGTGATTCACTTTCACCATAGGGAGCGAACTTTTGTCCTTGACTGTACATAAGTTACAGCAGAACATCATGTCTGAGAAATAGATTTAATGTTGTCACCATAGACGGGGAAGTTTTTATGTGTAGATTAATTGAGGTACAGCGATATTTAAATCACTCTTATCTCCAATTGGTGCATGATGGCTGACGGTAAAGCTGTGCTGATCATGTATGAGATGCAACTTTAACACACAATATAATGATCTGTAATATGTGTGTACTTTGAGTCACCATTCATTGAAAAGTACTGATGTAGAAAATTCTCGCCAGCACCTTGGTTAATGCGCCTCTTGAACTCGGTGGTAGTGTTATGTAAACTTTTAACTGAATACTTTAGTGTCTGTTGTATATATCTTTGCTATATAACTGTCACTGGTGCAAGCCTTCTTACCTCTTCAACAGTAACTGATCAGTATTACAAATTGTTTACTGTTGTGAAATATATGTGCAGTATTTTACACCACTGAAAGTCATACGTGTGTCATAATGTTACACTGTAAATATTTTCTCAGTTGTGATCATCATGTCGAAGATGCCCGAGAACATTACCTCAGTTTACCGTGAAGCTGTGCCGTATGTGTTACAAATACCCCGAGAGGATTATCCGAAGGCTATGACAGATGCTGTAGAACGCTTCTACTTTACCCAACATATTAAGCTCTCGTATAATGATTTCATTGAGACGTTGACGGAGGTGAGTCTTGGCGAGTAAGGTGTTGTTTATGTTGGGCCCAGAAATCGACAAGCGACCACAACACGTTGTGGTTGCTTTCAAAATAACCAGAAAGCGAAATTTTGCGTTTGGATTTTACCCTAATCTAAACTAATCCAAACTAACCGAACCTAACCCAATCCAAAGTAACCTAACCCAACCTAACCTAACCCAATCCAACCTAATCTAACCCAATCCAACCTAATCTAACCTAACCTAACCTATAGCGTTGTAGTCTCTTTTCGTTTTCTGAGCCCCAACATTTATACATGGCATTCGTCTTTCATTAAGAGTAAAACAATAGTGAAAAATATAGCTATCATGACTAGGGTTCATGCATATAGATGAATGCTGAAAATTTGTGCATATTTCAGTAGGTATAGTGAAGAATGTGTGGTAATTGTTATATTATTTCTCTCATTTACTAGGTTTTATCAGACGGCTACATGACCTCCTGTATAAAGAAAACCACTGAATCATTTGCTTCCGCTGGCCTCCCTGTGTATAAGTAAGTACAGAACTCGACCATCAGCACACAGTTATAGCATGTGCTGTATAAGAATTAATATTTTTACAGATATTTACAGTGATAATTTAATACGCACTATATACTTGAACTTATCCACTACTAATAATACAATTTGATGGAGTCATGACACTATACAGTACGGTACTCAGATCGCTCAACGTTTTGAACCAGATTTTTTTTTAGCAAGTTACATTTATTCCTATTGGATTCCATTCTCTATAACATACCTAATATCTGGGTAAAATATTATATGTAAATTAGCAAATTTACATATGTCGCTGTCTACGACTATGTCTTAGTCGTTAATGTAAAAAAATAAATATCAAATAGTAATGGTCCAAGTACTGAACCTTGGGGTATCCACTAGTGACGTTACCCCAATCTGATTTAGTGTCATTAATGCTGACTCTCTTGTTTCCTGTCCTGTAACCATGCCCTAGTCCAATTTAGAATATCTCCTCCAATTACTTGAGCCTCTACTTTATGCATAAGTCTTTCATGGGGAAACCTGTCGCAGGCTTTCCTAAAGTCGAGGTATACCAAATCATAATCGTGTCCGTCATCCACTGATTCGAAAACAGTCGAAAAGAATGATAATTCATTTGTCAGATATGAACGCCCACTGGTGAAGCCATGCTGGGAATCATTGATCAACTCGTTTTTCTCGAGGTGATTTCGAATTGATATTTAACAGATTAGAGTTTAGACAGTAGTTCGACGATCACATTCACTATATCCACACACCCCAACACCGAGATCCTCTACCGAGGGGATTTCAACGTCCATCACAGAGAGTGGCTTGGCTCTGCAATGGATGACCCAGGTGGAGCTGAGGCACTCTCTTTTCCTTACTTAATGATCTGGAACAAATAGTCAAACACCCTACATGTGTTCCAGATCGACACGATCAACTTACTAACATTCTTGTTTAACCTCTGAACCCCCCACACTATTCATACTCAATTTCTGCCCCCTTTCCTCTAATTCACAAACTACATCTGAATCTAGGGCTGATATCATTTCATCTATCAATGCGGGTCTGTGCAGCAACTCTGAATGGGGAGGAAGAAACTTGGTTAAATTCAATAGTAATAAAACTCAGTATTTACCAATTACACTTTCCAAATTAGATGATCTCCCACCAATCACATTTCAGGACTCAATCATTCTGCCAAATTCTAAAATAGATGTGCTAGGCCTCACCATTTCCTCTAATATGTCATGAACCTCCCGGAGCGATTTGGGCGTTATCACCTACCCCGCCGGTGGTGCTCCCAGGTGGCTGCACGAACATGACCCCACGGCAGCACAGCGCGCAGAGCACGCCACCACCACGGTTGGAGCCTTTCCGATGGTCTTCGGTGCTTCGCAGACTGTGGGAAATGGATGGAGGCCCCTTGCGAATCCAGCTCAACCGACGATGCTAGTCCCCCGCCTGGAGCCGGTGTATGGCTCTATCCTTATGCTTAGCCCCCGGGCCTCGTTTCGAGAACTGCTTCGGATGCTTCGAAGCCTTGTCACTTGAAACTCAGCGGGTTTCTGACACACAAGAGCCAAATGGCCTCGTTTGCCGCAGTTCAAACAGTCTTTATCCACAGCCTTGCACCCTTGCGTGTCCCGACGACAGTCTTTGCCACACCTAAAGCATAAACCGATCTTAACTTTTGCACTGGCACTCCGGTTTTGCTTCTACCGAGACACTTTGGCCAATGTATGACTCGCCGAGACTCGAATCACTGGACTGCTCACATTCGCATCTTCTGAAGCTCGGAATATATTGATAGCACTTTGCAATTTCAGGTCTTTCTCCTCAAGCATACGTTTCAATGCTTCCTCATCACGAGTACCAACAACTATCCGGTCTCTAAGGCGATTGTCTATACAAGACTCACAAAAGTCACAGAAATTTGCTATTTCCTTCACAGCACACAGGAAGTCGTCAAACGTTTCACCCGGTTCTTGAACTCTTGAGTAGGAGTCCCTCCGGTCCACAATGACGTTACGCTCTCCCCGAAGATACGCCTTTATCGCATCGAGGACAGGCTCCAACTCTGTATCGTCAGCTACACCAATTCTGTAGCGAAGGATTCGAGTCCACTCGTCGTTCAGCACAGACACAAGTTCTGCTCTCTGTTCGGCTGGGGACAAGGAGGAGATCTTTGTCAACGTCATGTACCCCTTAAACTTGTGGCGCCAGGCATCAAACTTCCGTAGTGAAGACAAGAACGACAGGTGCAGGGCGGGGGCAGCACCGAAGGGAAACTTGGTCTGCCGTGACGCAACGCTGCTGGTGGCGGCTGCGCCACTTGTAGTCGTTGTGTTATGGTTACTTGGCTCCTGCTGAGAGACCACATGCTCCAGGATTTGGCTCAAGCGTTCTTCCCTACGCTGGGAATTTTCCTGGGCTTGCTTGACCATCTCTGCCTGCTGCATCATGAGCGCCGTCAGCTGTTCCAGTTGCTTCTCCATCTTGAATGCGTAGAAACAAGCCATGATAGACAAGCACTGGATCCTACTCACTGCGTCATGTTTAAGTTCTCCATGGTTCCTGACGGCTCACTGAAACACAGTCTTCACAGATGCAGTTTACTGGGAGAGGTCTGTAGAGTGGTGCAGCAGGAACCAATCTGTCTCACAGGGTAATACATATGATCACAAAACCTCGTGCTATGTCTTATAACTACTCAGACATCCAACTTCATTCACTCTTCTAGGTGGCAGCACTCATGCATACGTCAATCACGCCACTAGAGGACAGCACTCGTGCACACTCTCATTCACGCCACACAGTGGTTCACTAGCTCGGCTCGTTCGCATTCCATAAACACCACACACTAACTTTGAGTACTGCTCTCATATCTGGGGTGGCTTTTCTTTCGTTGATAATCTCCCTTTCCTTTCTCTTCGCCGCAATGTTGCTTCACTCTCTCTCTTTAAAAAATACTTTAACGGGGCAATGTTCGGTGGATTTGGCATCCTGTGTACCGCCGGCAAGGCCGTGGGCTCGTAACACTCGTCTTGCCCGCGGCGCCCACCGTTTCTCTGTGGATGTCGGTCGCACTACAATAACCCGTAATTGTACATCCTTATTACCTCACACAGCCAAACTGTGGAATGCTCTGCCTTCTTCTGTGCTTCCAATTCTCATACAATGTCCCACTTGAAAAAGCTGGTTTTCCGGCATCTTTGTGATGTAGATTAATATAATTTTCTCTTTTCTATATTTAATTTCTATTTACTCTTATTCTGTCGCCCCTTAGGTCCCGTTGTGGGTCGATGAACTGTACCCGGGTTGGCTATTACCCGAAAAAAAAAAAAAAAAATCTCGGGACCTGATGACTTATTAGGTTTTAGTTTATCAATTTGTTTAACATCGTTATTAGTCACTACTATCTCACTTAATCTATTTCTTCACTATCTCTGTAGACAGTAAGTACTGTACTGTACCTCGGGTATCATGTTGAATTTTCCGGCTGTGAAAACTGATGAAAAAATAAGTGTTCAGAATACTGCTCATTTGCTGCTTGTTATCAGTTAGCTCGCCTGTATTGGTCCAATCTTGTCACGTATTTTAGTTTGATATTTGTTACATAGTTAATGATTATTTATGTTAGAGGTATTATTGTGGCTCCACACTGACAACAAGAAATAGGTAAGCAATACAAGCAGGGAAATGATAATGTAACTAGAGTATCTTCTCAGCCCTGTAGCAACAAATGTTTACAGTTGTAAATGATTATTTACACAGTTCCCTCCGCCAGGTACATCTACACCCATCGAGACCCTGACACCCCTGTATGGGCAGCACCTGTCTACAAGAAGCTGAAACAACTCGGTGTTACTTCAACAATATTAACCGAAGGCGTCTCTCATGGGGACGATTTGTGTCTCCTGTTTAATATCCCACAAGCCCAGGGCAAGTTATCTCAAAGGGACCAGAAGGTCTCTGACCTCCTCACCTCCATGTGGTCTTCCTTTGTTACTACAGGGTAAGTCAACCTTTGCCACAGATCATGATTTAGACTGAGTCATATCTTAGAGACTATTGGTATTGTGGGGTATGGGATGTTTGGGTTCTCACTCAGGATGGGATGGAGAAAGGAAACTCACGATGTGCTCTCTGTATACATGTTGTATTGGATGTACAATGCAGCTTGGTGCTGGGAAGTGGCAGCGTGGTTACAAGCGTGATGTAGAGAGAGCTGGTTGGTGAGGATGCTCAGAGGAGGACAAGCTTGTGGGTCGCCATGCTCGCCGGCAGGAGCGAGGGCCGCCAGGCAGCGGCGGAGGAGGTGGTGTTGCTTGCTGCGGCTGTAGCTAGAAGAAGAGAGAGCTGGTTGGTGAGGATGCTCAGAGGAGGACCAGCTTGTGGGTCGCCATGCTCTCCGGCGGGAGCGAGGACCGCCAGGGAGGCGGAGGAGGAGGTGTTGCTGGCTGGTTGGTGTAGGTAGAAAAGAGGCAGGTCACCACGAGGTCAGGTCTTTTATAGCGGAGGTAGGCGTGGGTAGATAGTTGACCTCCGGTCCGTGGGCGGTGCTGGTTGACCTAGACCACGAGGCATACACTGAGGAATTCGCGGGGTCGGCTACTCAGCGACAAACAGCGTTTGTAGGGGAGAAATCCACTACAGTATATCTCACTAAATTATTGTGTACTGATGCTTCTTAGTGTTAAGGTGCCAACCCGGGGGACAATGAAAGGCCGCGACCATAGTCTGTTTATTAGCGAAAGTGGCAAGGGAGAACAGACATGTCCACACTGCTTGGAGGCTGAGCCAGAACTGACTGTTAAACTTCCGCCCAGTGTTGCCACAAATTTCACCTCATTTCTCACACACATTCACACAGATCCTGCAATGCTTCACACAAATCACTGGGATGCTGTTTATTATGTAGTATTGTATAAAAAAAATAATAAAACTTTCAATCTACATGGCTGTACAACAGTTCTTTTCTGCAAGAAAAAGAGGATTTCAAGTTAAAAAAACACACTGAAATGCGTTTCTTTTGTTTAACAAGTTGATGAAATAAAACATTTAAAATTATCTTACATTTCAAACAAAAGTGTTCACTCTGGATTATTATTTTTTCAACAAAAACTTATTACCAAGACTGAAAATCACATTCAAAATAAAAGTTAATACAAAGTGTGATTCTGTCACTTACCAACTAGAACTTTTAACCTCACAATTTACATCACATAAAAGGTTGACAAGACTGTTGTGTACACGTATCTTTAGGGTTCTTTGGCAACTAACACGTCCTCTGGCTCACCTTCATCTCCACTTGTTGTAGGATCCTTTATCCCCAAACTTTTCAACATTTCATCACTAGGAATGAAGGAAACGCGTGTCCTTGACTCCAGCTTTAGCCCATATCGAATTTGTGAAATTGTTTCAACTGACCTCACATTAAAGCGATTTCGTAGTTTGGAATGCACAACATTCATTTGGGAAAATATTCTTTCCACTGATGCATTTGAAAATGGGAGTGAGAGTAAAGCTAAGGAAGACTTACAGTATTAGGAAAGGACTTTTGTCCAACTGAGTTTGTCTTATCATTCACTTCAGCCCAGAATGACACTGTACTGCTAAAACATGACTTTGGCCGCTCTTCAAACCCCAATGTATTCCACTCATTCTCGAGTTCATCCATATGTGTAAATGTGAAATGATATTTGGAAGCTATAGATAGGAAGTGTCAGCAAACTGCAGGGCAAGGCATAAGGCGGCAGGCCCAGACGCCAGCCACGACAGGATCAGTTCCTGACAGTTCGTGTTTAGATCGGCAGTCTCTCTCTCTCTCTCTCTCTCTCTCTCTCTCTCTCGCTCTCTCTCTCTCATACCGAAATATATTTTTTCACCGTCTTTGCTCGCCTCCAAAACATTTATGTCGAAATTTAAAATTCTTACCAATGCCTGAAAATAAAATTCACATAAAAATATACACAGATTATTAAGACCGAGCATCCTCCCACAACACCTCCCAAGTAGCTGCATTTCTCACATAAATTTGTGGGAGATTCCCACGAAGTGGCAACACTGCTTCCGCGGCCGCCGTTGGCGGACCCATAAACTTTTACCAAACTGGCACATACCCCCTCTATTGTAAAGAACCCGTTCAAACTCACAAAATGGTACACAAGTGACAAAGTTGCAAATTGAATACATACAAAACGAGTAAAGGTTCTTTTCAATATACAACTGAAACGTAAACAAATAGATCCGTTATGACAAAATATTGACACAAGAGTGATATATGGGGGCAGTCTTCGTCTGAGGGACATTAGCCTGAAGGTGCCTGGGAGAGCGCCTTGTCTGCACGGGCCTCTCGGTGGGTGACTCGGGTGCTGCTGTGACTTCAGGGTGGCTTCGGGCGTGATTGTGGGCGTTGAGGGGTGGAAGAAACGGCGATTCCTGAACGTCGTTCGTCCGCTGCCGTCTAGGGGGATCAGGTAGTGTCTGGGGGCCGGTGACTCCACCACCACCCCCGACCAGTCCCACTGCCCCGACTCCTGGTTCTGGACTCGTACCCGCTGACCAGATAAGAGTGGCGGGAGGTTGTGGGCGGTCAGGTTGAACCTCTGTGACATGTTCTCACTGGTGTGCCCCACCGCGCGTTCCCCGTTTCTCAGCAACCTTCCTCAGTGCTTGCTGACGTTGTAGTGCTGCCTGGCGGTAGGCACCGAGTACTGCGTTGGAGTCCTGCAGAGGTGTGTTCAGGTACTGCATCAGGGCGCTCGAGGCCTTGTCCGTGTCTAGGAAGCCCCCTGGATCCGTGTTGCCCCTCAGTAGTCTTTTGGGCGACTTTACTGCTGCCTCGGCCCGGCCGTTGGACTGTGGGTAGTGCACTGACGACACACTGGGCGTCACACACAAATCTTTGAAGAACTTCGACATTTCGGCGCTCACCAAGTTGGTCCCTCCGTCACACGACAGAACCTCAGGGTTACCAGACCGTTTGAAAGCTTACCGAGGGTGGACACCAGCTTGCCGCTTGTGGCGCCATTCGGTAGGTGCTCCACTTCCAGCCATCCCGTGAGCCGGTCCGCAGAGGCGAGGTACGTGTGCCCGTCCAGCTGGAACAGATCGGTTGCGACCTGCTCGAATAGGTACTCTGGCGGTGGCACGGGTATCAGGGGCTCTGGGGGGGGAGGGGGCGGGGGGGGGTGGACGGTGCGTGCCGCTCGCACACCTGGCACTGACGCCTTTTCTGCTCGACCTCCGCATCTATGCTGGGCCAGTCCACCGACTGCCTGGCCTCCTGTAGCATGGAGTCGCGGCCCTGATGTGCTGTGTGTACGTTCTTGAGCACTGCGCGTCTCAGGGCTGAGGCGATCATGAGCCGTAGATGTTCTTGAACTGGCCCTTTAACCGTTGATTCCTTCTGGGTTAATGGGGCTGGAATATGTAAAAGTATTTAGTGTTTCAGTAGCCAAACCTAATTGTCTGTTCTCTATTTATTGAGAAACTATCTCATATACAGTTCCAAGTGTATATCGCAGTAACTTAATCACTGTAGCTATGAGTGTTAAGATGAGGATGGAGGCTATATTAAAGAGCTCTTCTAAACACATCCGGTTGGTGTGAGGTGTCGAGTGACAATCCCGAGGCAACCGGCTTTTATACGTTGGCCTCATTAGTCTTAGGGCCGCACCTCAAGGAACTTACCCCTCACGTGATGTGACCATGTCACCTCATAGCCAGCGGAAAGTTACAGGGGGTGATATAATTATATAAACCCAATGTACTGCCCTGGCATTTTTATAAGAACTATGGGGCTAATACATTCTTCACCATGGGCAAATGCGACCAGGTCTCCGTGGCACGACAGGTCTGCCGTATCTTGTGGAAGGGGCAGAGAGCGAGCGGTTCGCCATCCTTGCGGTCCGCCCAATCGCCTGCCGACACGCGGGCGTGTAGCAGCCTGTATTCGTCGTTGAGTCCGGCCTCTTCCTCCACAAGATGCTGGGTAGTTGTCTTTCCATTGCAGGTACTTAATGCGAAACGAATACAATAGCGTCTTCTCCTAAAGGTTGAGTATCCGTGGGTTGCTGATGTCCTCGAGTTCCTTGTTTTTTAAGATCTCCGTCAGCGGCGATGGTCCGTGGCCAGGGTTAGGTCCGGGAACCCGAGCAGGAACAGGCGGGCCTTCTTTAGGCACAAAGCAATGGCCAGTGCCTCGCCCTCCAGAGTGGAATAGTTCTTCTCAGCTAGCGTCAGGTGGCGAGTGCCGCACAGTCAGCTTCCAGCCACCCTTGCAGCATAGGGGCGTGTCCGTCGGCACGCACTGTTGCAATATGACAAAGCCTATCCCCTGTCGGCTGTAGTCAGTGAGCGCCATTGTTGACCGCGAGACGTCATAATACCGTAGCTCCTCTGCGGCTAATTTGCCCACCGCCTCCCTCGTCTCTTCGAAAATCACCTGCAACTGGCTGTCCCAATAGACTGTCTTGCTGGCGGGCTTCTTCAGTAAGTCGCGAAAGGGCTCCATCAGGAGTGCGGCAGTGATGAACGGGGCCACCTGGATCACGAGGCCGAACCAGGATCGTGTGTCAGTGATTGAGGGCTTCGGTGACATGCAAAATTTGGTGATGCTGCTCATGGGGTCCTGGCTCGGCTGGCAATCCTCCCAGTCGAGAAGGTAGCCCGCGAACGTCACACTCCTCCTGCAGAAGCGGATCTTGTCGGGCCTGAGAGTGACCCCACTCTTTGCACCTGTCTCGAGGAAATTGTACGTGCGCCAGGACGCGTCGGCGATGCTGTGGTCGTATAACATGTCGTCGACGCACTTTATTTTCCTTGGTACGTCTGCCATCACGTCGTTGAAGCATTTGGTGAATGCGTCCTGCGCCGCACAGTGGCCCATGGGGGTGCGCTTGTAGCGAAATCGGCCCTAGGGAGTAATAAACATTGTGAGTCTCTTGCTCTCGTCATCAAGTGGGATCTGGTAGTACCCCGAGTATGCGTCCGCCACCGTCTTAAATGTGTGCCTCTGGACGCTCATAGCCGTATTCTGGCGTCGATCAGAGCCAACAATGTGATTGGCAAGGATGCTCATCTTAGCCGCATTACCGCCGAGAATGACAAAGTAGTGCATGCCTAGTCGCCTAATTACAGTATCTACCTCACAAAGCTGTTTCCAGAAAAATTATTATCATATCAGAACTCACTAATGAAACTATAGTAAGAATATAAACATGAAAACAAACAATGCGTCGGCGGGTTAGTCATCAATATTAGCCATTCCAACATACAATATAAAGAACATGTTGTGATTACAATAAACAAGCGGTCACACAGGCTTAAAGGTCCCATGCTGGTGACTTGTGTTTAGGTAGTACACTACAGGTGGTATTTCTTATTGAATAAAGGCTCTTTGTGTCTACAGAACGCCCCTGACGTCAAAGGACGCCTCTTTCAAACTGCCTCCCTGGACACCCGTACAACCTGGCGAGCCAATTAATTACTACAAGATATCCTTCACTCCATCCATGGTCTACACACCTTACAAGAATAAGGTAAACACACCAAATAACTTAATTGTTTCAAAGAATACTCACTATATCATCTGGTTTCTTGCATTTTTTATGTTTAACTTCTGCAGTTAAAGTAAGTGTAAATAACAAAGGTAAACTTCAATATTTATTTAAAACAATGTGTTTTCTGAAACAATAACAACAATAGTAATAATAATAATGGTCAAGGTGGAGCAGACGGCTAGCACCAGAAGGATTTGTTCGGTAATTATTGAAGGTTGACCCGCCACTGAATTTTCATAGAAAACGATTATAGAAATGCCAAAATTTCAATTTGTTTTACAGTGAACACTGTCGTAGTCTGTGCAAGTATATTAAAAAGTAGTTATTTATAATTTTAACCTAACCTAACCTAACCTCAGTTGATAAAAACACAAGTGGCAGAAGCCAAGTTAGGAGACCTCACCAACCTAACCAAGGAAACCTACCTAACCTTACCAACTTCCTTGCTATGGGGCTCCACCCCTGGATCCCCTAGTATAATAAACAGAGAGGACTTACTATGATATGGTGTAATTTTATGTTTTTTTTTTGTGGACGTGATAGCAGCCGCCCAGGTAAATATTCATCCATTGGCTGTCCGCAGGGTTTGGTAAGAGAATATTTTTGTAATTATTTTTAATTATTTTTCTTTATTTTTTTCTTTTTATTATTATTATTATTATTATTATTATCTTTTTTTGTTGGGGGGTATTGGTGGTGTTTTACTTAAATCTGACTTTAATTTCTTGTGTAAATTAGCGGTTTTTCCACAAAAATGGAGGTCAGATTTGAGTAAAACCAAAAAAAGAAAATATATATTCTCAAACTAAAGGAACCAACCAACCTAACCTAACCTAACCTACAAGGACGAGGAGTACAGGAGGAGACAAGTGACTCTTAAGTGAGTAGTATAGCCACAGGTAAACATGGCAGGAACCTTCTCACACACAATGGACGAATATTAACTGTCGCCCGATCAATGTGGCTCATAAAGTACACTGAGTAAAGGCCTCATTCTGAGCGCAGCTGTTTACATATGGGGATGAGATGTCACTGCCACATTGCCTCCAGGAAGACAAAGTAGTGATGTGCCTAATTACCTATACACGGCGAAGCATTTGCATAAGAAATGATTATCGTATCTGAACTCACTGATAAAAATAGATTAAGAAAATAAACACCAAAACAAATAATGCGTCAGCGGGTCAGTCATCAATATTAGCTCTTTAATGATCTAGATTGTCATTTAGGGAAGGTTAGGTTTGGTGATGCAAGGTTAGGCAGTAATGACAAGCTAGTTTAAGTTAAGTTTGGTTAAAAAGCATAATAGGTGTTGGTTAAGAACATGATATTCATGTTTCTACCAAACAAAAAAAATAAAATAAAATAAAATATATAAATAATATTAAACAAGCTAGGCACACTTATAAACATTTATCCACAGTTGCAGCCAAAAATTATACTTTTTGAAATATAAGTTATCTAAGGCAGTATTAAACCATACCAACCTTTATTTTCAAGACAACTCCCCTCAGCAGGTATATACAGCACCTGGTCTCAGAATCCGGTCATTTTTGGCCAGATCACACCCTAATAATTCACATTTAAGGCCTCGAATTTTATGATCACTTCTGGAGTACACACACGAACAACGAACTTACTGTAAATAATACTAATAGTTAAGAAATATATTATGTTTTCTTGGAGCAATGTCAAGTTCTAATTTCAGTCATAGACACTTGCAACACTTGATTATACAGAAATATCTAGATCTGCACCCAAACACACTATTTCTCACTGCTTTAAACCTCAATATTTGTGCATCAGTGTCACTCTTTACAGGCACCGTTATCGAGAGTTACAGGTCAGTGTTAACAATCAGGTGGATAGCCTCCAAAAGTCGAGGCAAATACCTTATAAATGTCGCCCAAATATTCGTACTTCTACAACCTCCTGTTTCACTCTCCTATAACAATTAATACAAAATATTATCGTCACTATAAGGAATTTAAATCTTATTCTGTGGATTAGTGACATGGTTTAATTAAAATAAAAGACGTAACACTAAGAATGAGCCATTTAATTCTCTTCCCATGTGATAAAGTGAACACTTATATTCGTATAAAATATCCCGGATGAAAACACCGCATAAAATAAATTAGTTTTTTTACCAGTTTGTTCAAAATAGTAAATAATTGTTTTCTTTATGAGACATTTGTGCAGCAAATAGTCACCAAATGACAAAGGTAAGAATGGAAACATGTCCCCTCTTAATGAGACATAAAGTCTGGCAGATTGACTGTCCGTTAACTGCTGTGGCTCTGCCTGGTTCCTGTCTGTCTGACCAGCCACTAAGCCCCCAGTGAGAGTGGGAAAGGAAATTACTATAGATTTTATTTCATTAGAAATTTAAAATTACCCGATAATTGTAAGCCAATAAATGAAGAGAAACGTGAGCAGTCATGTGCTTTCCTTTATTACTAATCCTGAAAATTTTCAATATTCATTCATAAAGACTGTTGGAAAAACAGGTGATTTAGTGGTGCCGCGGTGTCCTTATTCAAAAGTAGCTAAATTTTAGGCAATTAGCGACACCATTTTATTGGCTTGTTTGGAGAATACTGGTCACTTCGCCTTTCGGCTATAATTGCCACGGCAAGCAGTTTAAATGTAGCCCAATTGGGCGGCTAAACCGAGGGTTTGGTAACATTGAGAAGGATATGAAACTCCCTTTAAAATCTGTTAATGTCTTCGTGGACGCCGTGTGATGCACCACCTATGGGGGAGATGTCGCCTTACATCATAGAGAACAGTTTGGAATTACATGGGTAGCTACTTAAAAAAAAGTATATTCAATCCACACTACATCATAGAAAATAGTTGTAAATAGCGAGTGACTAATTTATTTTATTGTTATCATTTGTGCATTAATCAGAAAAAAACAATGAACAACAAATAACATAAAACAATAAACAGTTATTTATGAGGACACCTCTACCACTAGATGATGTTCAACTTCGTTAATTATTTCCACAGATGTTCTTATCATTATAGTAAGTAAAGTAAGTCATCCTTTAATGTCGTGGTTACAGGCTTGAAAAAAAAAAAAGGTTAGCAGAATCTATTTTCTCCACAAGAAATAGATCAAATACGCTAGTTACGTTCCCCAGTCTCCCTTTGCCCCATAAAATACATTACATATACATAAATTTAATGGAATTTTTATAGACAATATATATTATACATCCAAAAAGATAAATCATTTTGTATTGTACTCACTGAGAGGTGGAGCGAGTGTGTGGTGGGTAGTGGAGAGGAGGAGGGTGGCGAGTCACTGAGACCCAGAGGTTTAAAACCTCCATTTTTGTAGCAAGGCTAATTGGTCTTGCATTGCTTCTTCACAACACTAGCGTCATAACACTTGATGGGCACTTGGAAGCCATTTCGAATGGTTGCAGTACGTTGTTTGAATCATGGGTATCTAAAGAGTAGCGACGTTATAACTTTTACTTACTTCTATCCTCTTCACCACTGATCAGCTCGTTAGCCGCTTGGGCGATCGGTCACGTCTCTGTTATGCACTGTTGGCAGGTACTGGGGCATGCACTGGCTCCTGAATGTACCTGAACTTGCTCCAGTGTTGGTCAAGGCTGGTCTTGAAAGAGCTCACACTCGGTGCCGTCACAACACAACTCACTCTCACTCCGAAAAAGTTTGCCCTCACAGTTTTCTGGACTTGGGCTTCTTCAATCTTGAGCTGTGACCCCTTGTGGGGCGAGCCTCCACCAGCTCCAAGCAAGGATACTCGACTGAGTAGTGCCCCTTGAGATGCTCATACACCTCAATGTTGTCTGGGACAATGTTAAAGAAGGACTTCCTGTATTTTAAGAGGCAAATTTTTTTATTGATGCCTGACCTGCCGCCGATTTTTAATAGAAAACGATTTTAAAAATGCCGTAATTTCACAGTGTTTTATAGTGGACACTGTTGTAGTTTTGGCATGTGTTAAAAAGTAGTTATATACAATTTTAAGCTTCCCTAACCTTAGTTGATAAGAAAACAAGTGGTAGAAGCATTGTTAGAAGACTTCCCTAACTTACTAGCTGTGGGGCTCCAGTCCCCGGACCCCCCAGCATATTAAACGGAAAAAACTTACATATGGTGTAGTTTTCCTTATTTATGGATGTGAAAGGAGCCGCCTAGACCGTGTGGTTCATAACTGTATACTGACGTCGATCGGAGGCATAACTTAGTCGTCTAGTTATATACCTAACAAAGCAGTTTCCACAAAAATGATTATCATATCAGAACTCACTTATGAAAATACGGTAAGAATATAAAAATCAAAACAAACAGTGTGTTAGTCATTAATATTACAGTACAGTATCTGGATTTTTGTATTTTTTCAGTTTTCTCAATAATCATAAATCACCTTAGTGGGCAGGGCATGGGGATGAGGGAAATTGTAGGGTAAAACTGATCATATGACACTAAAATTATGTCTCTATGTGCTTTGTACGTGAAGTCATTAATTATTTACCGTAAATATTCAGCTGAAAAATCTACCGACCCCGTTTGTTTACAACCAACCCGCTCGGTCCGAACGAACTCTCACGTCCACAAAAAACGTAAAATTACTTCATGACGCTTCAACAAAGTGTTTAATATGGCGGGGATTCGAAAATTATATAAGATTTAGAAGGTTTCTTTGGATGGTTAGTTCAAGTTCTATTTGGTTCTAGTAAATGTTACCTCTTTTAAAATACTTACCACAATGATAAGAACATATTGTGAAAACATTAAACAAATCCATAAACTTTTTTTGGTGGTCACATATATTTTTTCACTCCTGTGAGAGGTTTGAATAATAGACCAGGTTCCTTGCAGACTTTACTACTTCAGCGTCAGATGGTGACTGGCAACCGGGCGCTGCCACAGACAAGCTCCCACCTCAACACATGGGAAAACATACCGTACGATGGTACTCCATTTCACAATCTCACAACTCCCAACAAGTTTCCCCTCACAGTTTTCTGGATAAGTAGATTCTTCAACCCGTGGTATTTTATTAGCCAAGAGGAATAGGGTCTCATATTTTTACTTTTACGTATTACCACGAGATCTGAAAACTTACCACCAATGTTCATGTGTACATCACTCTTCCAATATTCCCGACATAAATAACAACAGCCACATCATTAGCTGTGCACTTTCTTCATTTTTTTTTTATATTTTTGTTGTCATTATTTAGTTTTCAATAGTAAATGCTTCTTTGTTTTAAACTTTTCAGGAGATGAATTTTTGGAACCAGCTTTTACCCAGTCTAAACCAGCACCCCACCTGCCTGCACACTCATATCACCGAAGAAATGAGCGATAAAAATAGTTGCAATATTCCAGACAATGTCTAATGTGCAGTCATCGTACTGAACACTATTTGTAGTCCAATTCAGTATCTCCAACTTTGGCAGAAGCGATGTTTCACAGTAAATTTCTTTCTAAGGTACTTATCCACTCAGAAGTACAGGTATTAGCATACTCTGGGTGGCCACTCTATCGTCACAATAAATATCACTAAAATACTAATGAAACAATGACTTGACATTTTATTTTGACATTTATGGAAAATATTCACATAAGCTACTCACAAAACGTGAACAAATAAGTAAAACAACATAACTATGTACACGTTAAGGATCCTTTATCTGAAAAGCTTTCGGTTTTGGATGACTAGACTAATTTGCATAACAATTGACTAAGCCTATACAGGCCTGGTTCCAGACTCATGTCTGACTGAAGCAGTTTACCTACTGTACATACACTGTTAAGGCTAGCTGAGTGTTGAGAAGAAATCCTGCACTATGCCTTCTCATCTAAGATCACCAAATCCACAGTAACGTCTAGGCTATGGTGGAACAGTTAAGAAACAAATTTCTATAAAATTGTACCCTACACATTGTTCATGAATAATATCAAGAGCGAATGAAAGAATTATATTAGCCTGCTTGCTTCTCCACTCAAATATGTTCAGTCATTCTTAATATTGTTTAAATGAAACTCCCACTAATTTTCAATAAAACTTTATAGACTTACTCTTAACATGTGTTGTTGATACTGTAATGATTATTGATACAGTATTTACTTAATGTATTGTTTCTTGTGTCACTGGGTCGAGCAGAGGAGTGAGGCTTTAATAAGATGGGTCGAAAATGTTGAGTGCTTTATGGAATATGTAATTTGTACAGCAGGGGCGGCCATAACTTTGTGTGACTGGATCTACTTTTTCCACGGTTATCCTAACGTGATCTACTAACACAATTTTTCCGAGCCTCTACCACATAATGGATAGATTATGAGTCTTAATGGAGAGAGAAAGAAATTTGGTGGATTATGATGTTAGTGGTATCATTTTCTGTAGCATTATTAATTAAATATTCCCCAAATTTAAATGTGTCCTTTCTTGTTAAATGGCTACGAGATGAAAAAACAAAACATGTCATGACTGTTGCTACCAATAATCACATATTTTATTTTAGTAATTATGGACAGTGGTGGCAGGTACTGTACCATCCCTGGCCACCTCTGGTATACCATATACTGTACAGGATTAATATTCCTGAAGGGCGTAGATCCTTGGGGGAAAGAGGAGAGATGCATCTTTCCCCTATAAATGGGTTGCAGGGTTTCCTATACAGTATCTTTGGTGGTTCACAAAGATATCTTGTCTATCCAACCCTAACCTAATGTAATGTATCATAACATAACCATACCTAATATTATTAAAATATTAAATCACTATAGTAACTCCATACAGTATAATCATTCCACTACAATTCATGTCATTCAGAAGGCAGTATTAAAAACCTCCCAAAATTTGAAAAACAAAATTACAGTTTTTCTGTTTTGATGTGTAAGAATCATTCTGGGAAATAAGGTAGGCTGGGGTTGACGTTCAGTGTTGATTACAGATTTAATCCAGACAATGAGGTCAGTTAGAATCAGCTGTACTTATCCAGTCAGGACATGACCAATCCCCTCCTCTGAGGTGTGGCAGCTAGTGATGGTGGGGTCAACCTGCTTCTGGTCATGAAGGTTGACACAATAATATTGGCATTATGGGTTAGCCTGTCAGGTCATATATAATAGGGGGGAGTCTCTGTCACATCAATTTTATGAGACACATCATAGTGTGAACTTGAGGATTTACTTTACCGGAAGACTTCAGATTAATCTGTTTAAAGCAATAGGCTTTCAAAAATGCTGTAAAAGATATATTTTATTATGATTATGCTCAGAGGTGCATTTCTACAAGTCCCAGAAGTCATATCCTTCTTTGTGTATAATTTGTAAGTTTAATATTTACTTTTCTAATTTTTTTTCATCATTGTCTATGAATATATGTATTGTAGTTTAATGTACTTATTGAGTTTGAATATCCTGGAAAGTTACATGGATTGGTGACTTGTGTGAAGATAACGGGAATGAACTGAGAGTATTTACTCAGTCTATGGCCATTATCCATTGTGATGCTGAACCGTGTATAATGGAATTTATACAATGCATAAACTAATGATCAAAATTAACGGAAAATGTTTAAGCAAAACCACAAAAAAGAAAAAAAAAGCAGTAGAAATTAAGTGTTTACTGATTTTTTCAATGTTTTAGAAATACACACGACACAGAAAACGTACAGTATATCAATAATGCACTAATACATTTTTTAAAACAAAACTAAGTAATGAATAAGATACATAAAGATATATTGCAAAATTCAGGAAAGATCAGAACTATTACAACAAATGTATATGAAAATACAACAAGATTTCCACTTTGTTTGATGACTGTCCCTGGATAACAACGTCCACTAACACAGTACTGTACTGTACTGTAGTACCTTACATGACATCCATAGTTTTACTTACTACAGTACTATTTATTATCTACTAACATAGTTAACCAATAAAAACAACACCAATTGTTGAAAATTACATTTGAAATAATAAGATACTGTAGTGAGTCTAAAAACAAGACAAGAGAAAACTGATACCAAAACTATATACTCTACTGTCTCATAACAGTAAAATCAGACCAAACAAGTATCTGACCATTGTAAATAAACATAATCTCACCCAAACAAGAGAATCATCAAAATGGCTTGTGAGCTACAAAGAATACACTCTGGTATTCATAATTGAGCATTGACTCAAGGTTCTGTGTGTAGGCTGTTTGTATTCCCCTTTCTTCAACCTGCAATGATATTAAAACAAAAATTATGAAGACATTCTTGGTATGACTGCATGTTTGAGATGACTGGCTTGGTCACTCATGGAACCCTATATTAAGCTAGCTTGGAACCCTATATTAAGCACTCATGGAACCCTATATTAAGCTGGCTTGGTCACTCATGGAACCCTATATTAAGCTGGCTTGGTCACTCATGGAACCCTATATTAAGCTAGCTTGGTCACTCATGGAACCCTATATTAAGCTGGCTTGGTCACTCATGGAACCCTATATTAAGCTGGCTTGGTCACTCATGGAACCCTATATTAAGCTAGCTTGGTCACTCATGGAACCCCAATACAGTAGGGTCGGGATATATAGCAATTTTTTATAAAGATTTTTTTATAGCGCTAACTGTACTACCAAAATTATCGACATTTTCCAATATATAGAGATACAGAAAATCTATTTATTTTGCGAGGGAAATCGGGCAGGAAATATTTCAAATTTACTCCGACAGCAAACAAATGCGTTATTTGCTCACAAGAAATTTAAGTAGACAGTGGCTATAAACACTTGCAAAACGTATGTACAGAGACACAGCGGTTACAAAAACATTATAAAAGATTGCCAACTTAGCAGCCAAACCCTCAGTGACACATACTACTGAAGGTTACCCCGACCGGAGCCGAGAGCAGCCGAGCCTACCCGAGTCTGGCCTGAGATAACTACCAGCTAACACTACATCACCGAAGTTTAGGACGGTTGTCAAAGTGGTTCCAGACAATCAAGACTCGTCGGTGTGCAACAGAGGACAACCCCAGATCAGCCCCCAGGCCGATCGCCGCAAGACCCTGATCAGCCCCGAGCTGACCGCCGCAAGACCCAGGTGGATTGCAACAAGACGTGACGTCATCCCTCCCCGAGAAGGACGTCATCGACTCCTGACATCATAGCCAGCTCTACGCACTCTCCACTCGGGTAGTTCACAAACAATCATTATTTTATAAACTACATAAACACAAGTGAACTTTAAGAAGTCTTCACATGTAGTCAATATAAAGATACAGTGAACCCTCACTTTACGCGGTCAATTGAACCCACGGAGGCCCGCGTAAAGTGAACAACATAACATATGGGATTAAATGAAATAGAGACCGGCTGACCCCCAAACTCCACTTTTTCCGACACAATACCTATGTTCTAGTAAAAATAACATCTTAATTTTATGATGGTACATGCACACAATTAATACTTAAGAGAAATAGAGAAATACAGTCGCCAAGTTAATGTCCATTCAAATAATGGACTCAACTCCCTCCCCCTCTTCTCACACTCCTGGCTCTTCCCTCTCTGAAAAATGTTTGGGGGAAAACCACTAGATTTTAAGGTATAGTAATAAATAATACCTCAAACTAAAGTTAGGATAATATAATTGACATTGCTGGATTCCTTGTAAGACCAGGAATATTTTGAATATAAATGTCATATATTTTGCACAAAAGATAACATATTTACTCAGAGTAAACAAAATACTTAAAGTAGATCTAAAATTTGTATGTCTAATGCAAAATCTATGATGTTTATATTCAAAATGATCATCAAATTGTAAGAATTCCAGCAATGTAAATTATATTCTGGCCCGGTAAATTGTATGAATTTTAAGAGCTAAAACAAATATCTTCAATAAATAAACAAAATATATTTACCGAAATACTATCTGTCAATCAAAATACCCCACCCTCCCCCCTCTTCCCACCTGCTCCCTGGGTCCCTCCCTCTCTCCCTCCCTCCCCCTCACCCCCACCAACCCTCCCTACCAGAGAAATGTGTGGGAGAAACCAGAATATTTACATTTTGGTAATAAATAATACCTCAGACTAAAGTTAGGATAATATAATTGACATTGCTGGATTCCTTGCAAGACCAGGAATATTTTGAATATACACTTTATATATTTTGCACAAAAGATAACATATTTGCTCTGAGTACACAAAATACTTGCATTAGATCTAAAATTTGCATGTCTAATGCATAATTTATGATGCTTATATTCAAAATGATAATCAAATTGTAAGAATTCCAGCAATGTAAATTATATTCTGGCCGGATAATTTGTATGAACAAGCTATATTTGCAATAGACATAACAATTTTAGTACCGTAATCATTTAGTACATGTACAATACAGGTTTGCACTTAGGTCCATTGTTACTGTACAATATTGACTAAATTCACTAGATAACGTAAGCCTGGCAGCACAATCTATAAGAATACGCGATGCATACGTGACTGTGCCCGCTCTAGGGCCATTTAGGTTCGCTAGGTCCCATTATTTGAATGTTTTATTTTTCAATTTAAATTTTAATTGTTTATTCCTTGATAGAGAAAACGGGATCCTGGTGCTGTCACTTGGTACCCCTGTACCATAACACCAGAAGCAACTGGCCAGTGTCACAAGTATATACAGTATAGTACAGTCATCCCTTGGTTATCGCACCTAATTGGGACCCCGCCGATAACGAAAGTACAGAACCTATGGGATTTATTCCAATTGGTTCAGGCACCCAAGACCCAACCCCAAGTTTCCCATTTTACGACCATTTATACCCACTAAATATATATGTAATGTTATGGTAAATATCATAAACACACATAGGCATGGCTAGGTTTATTACAAAGTGATGAAAAGGGTACGCTTAATACTGTAGTCCACAAAACATGAAGCTTTACTTTTTTTATTTGGTCCCCCAACATACGAGTCCGTTTTCTCTCACATCAGGATGCCTGAGTCCTCCGTTTTCTCTCTTAATCTTAGAGTGCACCAGAGACTTCACTATACTTAGTAATGCCACTGAATTTGAAATTGCAGCCCCAATTGCAACTGGGGTTCCAATTGTTGAGGCAACTAGATATGTCTGATTACAGCAAATGTGTTATTGTCAATTTGTAGGTGAAAGATTTTATCCTCAATAGATGTAGGTTAACATTTCACCTGTAGGCAAATGCTTAAAAAAAGCCTAAGTAAGGAAGCATATTCCTTTAACACATAATATCTGACCAGTATGAGGAGGATCATCGTGTCTCCGTCAGGGGGTTGTGGAGTGGTGGTCCAGCAGGCGTCACTTTCTCGTTAGCGGATTAGCGTTTTCGCTAACTTTGGAAACCATTAGCGGACCAATTACCTTCCGCTAAATTTAGTTCCGCTAACTTTAAGTCCGCTAACTTTAAGTCCGCTAACAAAATAAATACATGTTTGTTCCTGTCTGTTGTAAGCGTGTGACGCTGCGACGCGTGTCTCCAACAGCCAGTTAGGCATGCTTGACTGACTGCTTGTTAGTACGTGTAAACGTGACAAGACATGATTTGTCGACGCTGCACTGCAGCAGCTGAGCAGCATTGTGTAATTCTGCAGTTCTGAGTTCAGTTCACTTACGACGTTGTCACGTTACAGACAGTCTAAGCAGTCTTACAGTGTCAGCGACAGCAGCGTACGTTATCGCTTATTGTTATGGAAGGTGAAGACTGTCAGTGTATGTTGAAAGAATCATAGAATGTAATTGTAAACTACTGTATAATTTCATTTCTCATTTATTTGTTAATTTAATTAGGATTTTTTTGTGTCAATATATTTGGTTATGCTAAGTACTGTCATCCAAGGTGTGCGCCAAACAAAATTTTCTAAAAACTTACTTTTCATTAAAGTTTAGTTTTCTGTTTATTTACATGACTAAGACCAACAATAAGTTATTTAAAAATGCACTGGCATAATGTGCATGTGGTTGGTATTGCATATTTACATGAATAATGAATAAGGCCGATAGGTTGTATGAGAATGAAAATCAATTATTTGTGAAACTGTGTACAGTGTACACCTTGATAAGTTGATCATCATCTGATCTTGGCATGATGCTATTTGCTACTTATGCTTTTCAGTACCATAGTTTTTGGATTCGTTTAATACTTTCTGTCTTTTCGTACAGTAAATAAAGATTATTAAGTGTATGTTGAAACTTGAATGTAAACTAAGGTTTAATTTTATTTGTTCATTTAATTATTTGTGTACAGTTTTTGGAAAGCTCTATGTCTAAGCTACAAGACAACATATGAAAATTTCAGCTCTCTAGGTCTGTTTTTAAGGGTTTTAGAGCACCCCCCCAAAAAAAACCAAGAAGCTAAATTCATATAATAAAGTTAGCGGTTAGCGTTAGCTTCCGCTATTTTTTTTTAGCTGTTTGGCATTAGCTAAGTTAACTTTTTAGTTAGCAGATTAGTTGTTAGCGAAGCTAACTTTTCGTTAAGCTGTGCCCACCAGTGTGTGTGTGTGTGTGTGTGTGAGAGAGAGCTGCCACTCGCCAATCCCTCCTCCCATCACTGTTTGGCCTTAAGACCCGACATGTTTGTTTCATTCAGCGTAAATAAAAAAACAATTCTGAATTTACTGAGAAAACATTTAGTCTGAAAAATGGCAGATGAAATTCAATGTGGACAAATGTAAAGTACTTAGTCTAGGAGATATCAGATGAACAACGATGTTATAGAGAAATCCGAATGTGAGAAAGATTTAGGAGTAATGATAAGTAGGAATCTTAGGCCAAGTAAACAATGTGTATTTGCTCGAAACAAGGCTAATAGAGTACTTGGGTTCATACAAAGGAGTGTTAATTACAAGACTAGAGAGGTCATCCTGAAACTACAGTCTCTCCTCGACTTACGATGGGGTTCCGGACCGACGACCAGCTCGAAGTTGAATTGGTCATAAGTCGAAAAGGTGAAAATAATACATAGAAAATCTAAAATGGGTGTCTCTTTTTCTTCTCAGCACCACGAGAACTCTCACTTTTACGCTTGCCAGCCATTTTAAAGGGAATTACAAACAAAAATTTTGTCAGTACACAGCGCGATCACTAACGTCGGGACTTTGTGGGTCATTTAAAGCTTAACAAATGGCCATAATTAAAGGTAATCTTCTTCTGAGAATTGCTCAACTAATAACAGTACCAGTTCTCTTCCACTAATTAATTACAGGTACTTACAGTAATCTTAAAGCCGATGCCCGAGACAATACTCTTGACCTCGTCGTAGCTGGGCTCAATAGACAGCTCTCCAGGCTGGTCAGCAAAGTGGTACAGTAGTGGACCCAAGTTCACCCAGTATCCACCTGAGAGAAAAATTATTCCATGAAGAAAAAAACTAAAAACTAAATAAATAAATACAAAATAATAAATAAATAATAATGCAGTAATATCTCTACTTAATGGACGATATGGAGAGTAGAGTTCAATTATATCGAGGGTGTGTTACATAGGAAAACCTCCATCTAATGTATAATGTGAAGAGGGAAGTCCGTTATATGGAGGCTTCACTGTTAATAATTAAAATAAAATTAATAAATAAAACACAGAATCAATGCTGAGGATATGATGGTGGGATAAGGTGTTGGGGTAGTTAGTTATGAGAAGGGTGTACAGTATAGTGTAGTAATGAAGGAAACACAAACATGACGGACAAGTTCACTGATGTAAACTCCTCTTCGCTGTGTGACGTAGCTTGGTAGACGATGATGTTGAAATTTTATATCCCTTTCTTATTCTCATCAAGATATTTATGTTATCAGAGAGTTTCACACGTTAATTTTTGCTTCCTCGTGTGTGGAAGTTATCAGATGTCAACACAGAATAGATATTTTTCCTTAAAGTATCAGACTATAAATACTGTACAATAGATCAAATAATAAAGAGCTATGGTGCCAGACGATCAGCTACAAACTGACCATAGGCCTCAGTTACAAAGGTTCAAGAGAACAGCATAACTGGGCATCAATACTTAAAAATCTGAAAATTTTCTGTCAAAGTCATCAGAAAAACTTTCAATTGTTTCTGTGATACTTGAAAATTCTGTCTTGTTTTCATGTCAGCAATTCCCGACAAGTAGAAAAGTAAGGACAGACTTGACCAACACTGGAGCAGGTTCGATATATTAAGGAGCCCAGTACGTACTTGCAAAGAGGATAAAATGTAAAAAGTAAAATAAAAGTGAAATATCTTCCTTAGACACACACAAATAGTTGCAGAAGCTTCAATGTGCCTCACCAGCTGCTGCCTTCCCTGGAACTTCAAGTGGGTTGTTATGTCCACTGGGTACACCAATGAGTGAACAAAGTTTTCATCTTGCAGTTGATCCTGGTGCTTGTGTGTTGCCAATGTGCTCATTCTGGAGGAGGGAAAGAATTTTTTTCCAAAGAGAAAGGAAACGAAGAGAACACTCCCTTCCACCCAATAACTTGATATTTGAGAACAATGGAAAGTCACTGTCTTCTGCATCCACATTTTTAAGATAAGATGAATTTTCTATCTCTCAGATTAGTCACCATCCATCATGATATTCACTTTGCTGACAACATTTCTCATACAGTGGTCCCTCGGTTAACGAACGCCTCGGTTAACGAGTTACCTTCCATAAGATTCTTAACTTCGATTAACGAGCAATCCCTCGATTAATGAGTTTCTTATGAGCCGACCTCAACATGTTTTTGCTTGCATTTGGCGGTCCACCAGCTGTAGTATTAGTCCGCCAATACAGTAATCGGTTCTAGGGCTTATATTCCTTACCATTTTAGTAAATATCAAGAAGTTTACAGTATTCAATAATTTTAAAAGTTTAATATTAAATTTTTTAGTAATTTTAACAATTATTGAACATAATTGAAGGCAAAGAAACTAGTTTCTGGCGCACCATCCAGCCTGGCAACACACCAAACAAGCGTTAGTCTCTCTCTTTTCAGTGGAGGTAACATCTTGCTTGAGACTCTCTTCAACTAAATGCTTTTTTCTGTGTTTCCAAGCAAATTATTGGTCATTTTGAAATTTATTTTACATATTGACACTATATAATGCAGTGCAGTGTTGATTTAAAGAAAATAATCTTGAATTACACCAAAAGAACTAAAATTTTATGGGTGAAATGGTGCCATGGGGTGACTTCTCTTCCACCCCAATGCCTTCTCTTCTCCCTTCTCCTCCACCCCATTCTAATTCCCATCATTATCATCCAGGAGCCTTCTACATACACACCTAAAAGTAAGTGTACTTTTCTACCCTTTTTGTTGAATTTGGGCAATTTTCGGTGAACTGGAACCAATTACCCAAAAACCCATTGGAACAATGGTTTCGGTTAACGAGTTTTTCGGTTAACGAGCAACCTTCTAGAACGGATTGTGCTCGTTAACCGAGGGACCACTGTACATCACACATCTGTAGTAATTCCCCACACAGTGTTTCCTGCTGAATAATACAATAAAGTAGCATATAAGTCATTCCATTTTCTTTAAGCACACCTCACCTAACATAACCTAATCTAATCTGTATTTTGAAATACTGTAGGACATAAAATGCTCACTTGATGCCATAGCACAAGGTTATATTGGGTAAAGTAAATAAATGTGTGGTAATGACAGGTTAAAAATGCAGCAGAAGGGCAATACTTGCACCCTGCTCCCTTGCCCTGCCCTGCCCTGCCCTGCCCTGGACTGACAGTACACCACATATCGTCTGTGTCCAGGTTATGAGGTGAATACAGTCGCAGTGTTGCTGCCATGCAAAGTGCTGTGACAATTTCTCACAAATGATTACTGTTGGCAGTCAATCAGTGAAAATATTACTGGTAGACGGGACCATCATGACTCATCAACTAGTGTAGCGGTGATCAACATGCAGAAGACCATTCACCCACCACCAACCAATGGAAAGAAAACCAAAGTGGAAGCATTAGAACCTCAGCCATCAGTATGAACAAACAACACGCTTCAGACCTCGTGGTGCAGTACGCCTGCCAAGTTTGACTGACTACTATATAGCACTGAGATAGATGCCAAAGCTTTTACTTGTTACTTCTTGTGGGAGTTAGGAAGTACAGTACACAAGGTATACTGTAGGAACATAGCTGCTTCATCTTGCTTTCACTGTATTTTCTTGCAGGATTTTAGTAAGATAAACAGACCAAATTTAGCTGTGAGTGCAGGAAGACATGTTACTTAGGTGTTTAATATCTCAAAGGAGACAGGCTACACATACTGAACATGGCCACTCTACTAACTTGTGTTAATGATTATTGCTGTGCAACACTTACCAGGTTTTAGAATTTTGTATATTGTCTCAATAAAAGCCACAATGTTATTTGAACAGTCGATGAAGAAACAAGTGGCGACACAATCCCAGACTCCATCCTCAGTGTAAATCTGCAACATATCAAAGACCTTCACATTAAAAGTAGATCTATCTATAAGTAAAACATATTGTCTATTTACAACCAATATGCTATAGTAATGTTGTTGAGTTTTGGACAGAGCATCATCAACTAAGACTACAACAGCCCCCAGAGCTTACTGTACTTGTCTTAAAGCCTCAGCACCTCCACTTCAACAACTTCAGGGCTCTACCCTTGTTGAATTAATCACAAGGTCTACACTAACCGTGAATTTGGTTGGCGAATTCTTGCATTTTGTAGAGATAGTTTTTTCCCCCAGCAAACTAATTGGGACATTAAAATATACATCCAATTCTGATTTATATTTAAATCAGTGGGAAGGGAATGGTAGATGTATGCCTAATGTAGCTACTTCGCTTATTTTGCTTTCTACCTAAGATATTACCCTTTGATTTGGTAATATGGCAAATAATGGGTAGAAACAAGGATGTTGTTGGTGAGTGGTGTGTGAGGAATGATGATGGTAACGTGGCTGTTGATAATGAGGATGTCAAGGATGCCTAGAGAAAATACTATGACTGACTACTGAATGAGGAGTAATGTACAAATGGGACAGGGGCAGACCAGGAGCAGCAGAACTAGCACAAGGACCATGCCCAAGGATGAAGAGAGAATGGATGAGGAAAGCGAATGACAAGGTAAAGAATGGAAAGGCAGCTGGAAGATCTGGAATATATTGTATGCAGAAATCATCAGGTGTCAATGATGATCAAATTGACTATGTACTGCAACCATGATGGAATGTACTGTTCCAGACAACTAGAGGAAGAGTGTGATCTTGAATACTTACAAGGTTAAAGATGATATACAATACTTGAATGTTGAAACTACAAGGGTCTTAAACTGTTAGATCAGGTTATGAAAGATGTAGAATGAGAAAGCTTGGGGTCAAGGATTGTCTTGTACAAATGGTTAAGTCATTACATGAAGGTTCAAAAGCTTCTGTGAGAGTAAATGGTGAGAAAAGTGAGGAATTGGAGGTGAAAGTTGGGGATCATCAGGGGTCTGTCTTGAGCCTCCTTCTCTTTATCGTGGTGTTAGAGGCAATATCATGGACTTAAGGACTGGTCTGCCCTGGGAGTTGTTGTATGCTGATGGCTTATAACAGATAGTATTGAACAGACAGTGGAGAAATTTAAAATATGGAAGGAAAGAAGAGAGTCCAAGGGCCTAAGAGTGAACAAAACAAAAGTATTGATTAGTGACATGGGTGAGGGACTTATGGTGGAATAGTGGAAAATGGTCACGTGCTGCCAGTAAAAAAGGTGTTGGTAGCAACTCAGTATTGTGTAGTAAATATGGAAGGTGGATACACAAGAGGTGCAGTGGGGTAGATGGCAGACTGCAGGATGTTGCTGACTTTAAGTGGTTTGTATTTGGAGGTAACCATGAGTTCTGATAGCTGGGAGACATAATCAGTACTGGAGGGAGAAACTACTTTCTCTGGTGGACCACATAAGGAGCTGATGTCACGTACCCTGGCTCAGTGAACAGTTTGGTGCTAAACTGTACATCACAGGTGTTCTTTTGTAGGTTAAAGATGCTTTGTAACCTCAGTAATGGTTGAGAAGTGTACGAGTGATTCCATTGGTGTTGGTGAATCTAAAAAATGCTGCATCATTATATTAGAAGAAACTGGATATAATAAAGTAGTCGGAAAAAAGGTGAAACTCAGTTAGCGATCAGTTGTGTATTGGGCCTAAGCTGGTTGACCACAGGTAAGGCAAAGAACGAACCAAGAAACATGTGAAAAAATCGGCACCCATGAAATCAACAATAATGAAACAGAGGAATGGTGTTATCAGTGACAGGGAGACACAGCACCACAGGCAACTTAGCCTTATGACACACCATGAAAGGCTTCAAGTCTTTATAACAACCTAACAACCATCCTTCTTACCTCGTCACCCCTTTCCCTGCCTCACCATCATCCACCCTGTGTCACCCCCTTCACCACCCTCCCCTGCCTCACCTTTATCACCCCCTTCACCACCCTCACCCCTGCCTCACCCTCATCACCCCTTCACCACCCTCCCCTGCCTCACCCCACCCCTTCACCACCCTCCCCTGCACCTCACCTTCACCACCTCACCACCACCCTCCCCTGCCTCACCCTCATCACCCCCTTCACCACCCTCCCCCTCACCCTCACCCCATCACCCCCCCACCCCCTGCACCCCTTCACCACCCTCCCCTGCCCATCACCCCCTGTGCCTCACCCATCACCCCCTTCACCACCCTCCCCTGCCCACCCTCATCACCCCTTCACCACCCTCCCCTGCCTCCCACCTCATCACCCCTTCACCACCCTCCCCTGCCTCACCCCCATCACCCCTTCACCACCCTCCCCTGCCTCACCTCATCACCCCTTCCACCACCCCTCCCTGCCTCACCCTCATCACCCCCTTCACCACCCTCCCCCTGCCTCACCCCTCATCACCCCCTTCACCACCCTCCCTGCCTCACCTCATCACCCCTTCACCACCTCCCACCCCCTCCCCCCCCACCCTACCCTCCCCTGCCTCACCCTCATCACCCCCTTCCACCCTCACCCCACCCTCCCACCCTCACCCCCTTCACCACCCTCCCTGCCTCACCCTCATCACCCCCCTTCCCACCACCCCTCACTCACCCCCCCTTCACCCCCCTCCCCTGCCTCACCCACCCCCTTCACCCTCCTGCCTCACCCCTGTCACCCCTTCACCACCCTCCCCTCCCTCCCACCCCTCACCACCCCTTCACCACCTCCCCTGCCTCACCCTCATCACCCCTTCACCACCCTCCCCTGCCTCACCCTTCCCCCCCTTCACCCCTCCCCTGCCTCACCCTCATCACCCCTTCACCCACCCTCCTGCCCCACCACCCTTCACCACCTCCCCTGCCTCACCCTCATCACCCCTTCACCCACCCTCCCCTGCCTCACCCCATCACCCCCTTCACCACCCTCCCTCCTCACCTCCCCCCCCTTCACCACCTCCCCTGCCTCACCCTCACCCCCTTCACCACCCTCCCCTGCCTCCCCTCATCACCCCCTTCCTACCCCCTCCCCTGCCTCACCCTCATCACCCCCTTCACTACCCTCCCCTGCCTCACCCTCATCACCCCCTTCACCACCCTCCCTTACCTTGGATGAAACAACTCATCAGACAAGGGAGCAGCACTGGGACTCAAAGTACCATAATATTAAAACAACTTGTTATTTAATGTTACTTTATCTCATAATATGCTTTATTAATTACATTATAGTTTGTGCCTAAATTACAATATTTCTTCTCATCACTAAAATATAGTACAGTACAAGCCTAGTGTATATCAGGTTCCAACATACAGTTTATACTTACAATATGACTTTAAGACAGTTTACAGAAACGTAACTCATCCATAAGTTGGGGAGAGCCTGTACAGGTGTTTGTGGTACAAGTGAGTAAATATTTAGTCTGGAGAGAAGAGTTAGCAGTGAGGACAGTTGGTCAGTGTAGGGAGTCCAGAACTTGACCCCTTTATTATTCACTAAAATTGCTCTTGTTTGGGATATTTTCACTTAGTAACATCACTTTCCTGTAATACAGTTGAGGAACCAATATAAGTCAGCACCATTTACTGTTTGTGAGGATCCCAAGGTTATAAAAAATAAACACTGAGTAATGCTGTAAAAGGTATGGGCCGCTAAACACCACTCACCTGTGTCCATTATAACTCTCAAGAGATATGTGTGCCAAGGTTCTTAGCCCCAGAATACCTATATTAAAATATATTTAGTCAACACATCTAACCAAAATAGAAGATAGCAGGTCTTGGTTAAGGTAAACCTGATGAGTGTTGTCAGTTTGAGTGAGGTAGAAAGGTGATCTTGTAGAGGTAAAAACTACCTCTTTTGACACTAGTGGGTTGGAAATAAGGAAGCTATAGATCCACAGTCAGGCTAACTCTTGGTAAAATGAATCCAGTAAACTGGTATTAATTTGGTAAAAAATTATAATTGTGGCAACTTTAATTTTATACAACCTTGTTTATGTGGATAGCATAATTGGTCATTAACCACTTGAGTACAGGGTCCCCTCTGAGCTGAATAAAATCATCTGAAGTAAGCCAAGTGGTGTCTCAGTAGTGAAGGGTTCTGTGAGGAGAGCGGTAGTGTTCTCACGGGCCACATTAAGTGACCTGTACATAATAAAATACATAACAAAATAATTACCTCCAAGAAGTCTCCAGCAGCCATGGTAAACTGTGAGCTTGGTGGCAGGTCAGAAGGATCCATGTCTGGGAAGGTGGCTGCTTGGAGCTGGTCTGCGTTGCTGAGTCTGTTGCTGCCCACATGAACCCACGGGTACACGCGTAAACTGTTCAGCCCGCGACATCTACAGATATAAGAATAAAACTGTTGTAGTATCACCCCAAGAAGATGTTTTTACAGTAGATTATTATAAAAATTATCTAAATCATAAGTCTGACAAAATATTAAATGGAGTCTGGTTTCAATATCACTGTACTTGTTTATGCCATTAATCATTACTGCTGAATCTAATATTTATGAGAGAAAGCCTCAAAAATACTTCTGGGGTAAATATTAAAGATAAGTAAGAGTGTCATTGATAACCTTAACCACACCACAGTGCTGTCAACCTTCATCAAGTCTCCACCTTTACTATTTCTTCACTAACACTTCCTTCAACACTTTAGTTTAACATCTAACTTATTACTGGTGGTCGCTGTCAAGTGGGAAACACTTTCTTTGATACTACTATAACAGAGTGAACAAGTTACCAGACCACATCAAAATCAGTTATGGTATTAAACAATTTAAAACTAAAACAAAAAACAAAACCCAAAATACATAACAGATGAAGCTAGAGCAAGAGTTTCTGTGTCATTAACCACACAATATTGTACCAACTATCACTAGCCTAGATAATATGGGGAGATGTAGACCATTGAAGTCATGTTTATATTATATTTTATTTATTTCCAACACAGATTAAAGCTTTGAAATGATATTTCAACAACTTTTATGTTTTTTATGTAAAAAACACTGTGGCAGCTGGCACTCAGCTGAAAATTATGAATATTTGACAACAAAATAAAAAACAAGAACAGTTAGTGTACAGGAGTACTATAGAGGTGCCCATGAATTTAAGAATGTGAATTTGTATTACATGAATTATCACGACTAAACCACACTGTGTTTATGCAGAACTTTGGAGAGTTAAACAGGAGAGTGACCCTCCATTATAAGTTAAATAACCTCTGGGATATGGCAGACTGACCTGTGCTGACTCAGGAGGGATAACTTGGTGTATGACCCATAAGATGTACTGTACAGCAACAGTTGTGTACTGTACACAGGGTGGTGTTTATTTTTACTCATAAACTGGTTGATGAGTATGGTGGAAGAGAGATTCCACCTCACACTGGCAATGGAACTATAATAGTGTGTTGGGAAAGTGTTGCTCATGACTGTACAGTCCAGCAACATACTGGTAAAGGTTTACAGGATATATGCAGGGACTAAAGCTTCTGATAATTACAGTACTATAAGTTAACCCAAAAAACTCCTGATTATGAGTAGTTAAAATATTAAAGATCCTTTGCCCTTGAACATATATAAAGGAATTCTTAATTACATGAACCACAAATTTACTTACTTGTTAAGGACAAAGTTTGATGCAAACAGCATAAATAGACTGAATTCATTTCCTTGGCAAGCATATCCTCGTCTTGCAAGCTCGTACGCCAGGCGGCCCAGTCCAGCTCCTGGCACTAGTATATTGACATCCTGAGCACACCTGAGAGTTGGGGTACATTATGAGGGAGTCATCCTAAATGTTGTTGTTAAAAGCAGATAGCAAGAACTGATCCTAGAAATCACATTTCATGGTCAAGTTAGGAAAAGAAAACTCATTATTTTGTCCATCCAATCTATGGACTGCAACCCAGGTCAACTACTGATGGCAATGGTAGGCAATGATTTAAACAATTAGTAAGGCTATCCAGTTGTAACCCGAGCACCCAGCAACGGGTTTCTGTTAGGTGAAGGTCTACTTCTTAAGGATGAGAGCTGATCAAGTCTTGGTCATCGCCAAACACCCAACTCTCTCCTGTGGCTCCTAGTAGCTATCAACCAATGATGACGGCCACATCCCGGGTAACCATGTCGGCTGCTGGGCTAAACCAAGTGAGGGCAGCTGTGATAATTATAATCTCACAGCACATCATCCCCAATAGGTCAAGTCTGGAGCAGCGGTCTAGACACAAGAGCTCAATAAGGGGTCAATGGCAAGGAAGATATGACACCAAGATGTATGACACATTATCCCCAGTGTTTGGAAGGTCTCTGTATTGACTAAAACTGTCTGGAATTACCCAAATAAATATTAAAAATGGTGTCCTGCAACAAAGTGGTTAGGGGTGAGTTTTGGCATAAATGAAAATCTTGGTTGTAAAACAATGATGATGATGAGTCGCCAAGGAAAAGAACCAGAGTCCTCATTTAACGTTGTTTAGTTATAACGACGCTACTCTTTAGATACTAATAATTCGGTTAACGTCCAAATGACTAAATTTAACGTAGTGTTTGCGTTGTCACGGACTACTTTTTACGGCGCATCACCCTCTCTCGTCTTGCCGTGCTACGCTCTCTCATCTTGGAGCGCTACCTCTCACTCGGGGAATGTCACAGCGTCCCCAAGCGTCAACAGTCTTTGTTAGGATTCCACAGCGTTTGTGTGTGTTTATGTGTTTTTGCTCTTAATACTGTACTGTAACAATTCAAAATGGCTTCCAAGTGCCCACCAAGTGCTACTGATACTGGTGTTGTGAAGAAACAGCGTAAGACCATTAGTCTTGCTACAAAAATGGAGGTTTTAAACCGGGAGGAGGAGCCACCCGCTGGGTCTCAGTGACTCGCCTCCTTCCTCCTCCGCTCCACTACCCACTCGCTCCACTACCCACTCGCTCCACTACCCACTCGCTACACTACCCACTCGCTCCACTACCCACTCTCTCCACTACCCACTCGCTCCACCACCTCCGTCCATCATTGAGTACAATACAAAATTATTTAGTTATATATATATATATATACGATGGTCCCTCGGTTAACGACCACAATTCGTTCCAGAAGGTCGTTCGTTAACCGAAAATTTCGCTAACCGAAACCATTGTTTCAATGGGATTTTGGGTAATTGGTTCCAGCTCACAGAAAAAATTACATATAAACTAAAAATAAATGCAGTAAAGTACACTTACTTTGAGGTGTGCATGTAGAAGGCTCCTGGTTGATGATGATGATGATGATGATTGGAATTAGAAGTGTGGGTGGAGGAGAAGGGAGAAGAGAAGGAAGTGGGGGTGGAAGAGAAATCACCCCATGCTTCATGCCGCCATTTCACCCATAAAATTTTAAGTTCACTTGGTGTAATTCAAGATTATTTTTTTTAAATCAACACTGCAATACTCTATATATTGTCAATATGCAAAATAAATTTCAGAATGACCAATAATTGTACTGTAAAAACGTAAAAATAGTTTATGTTCAAGAGAGTCTCAAGCAAGATGTTACCTCCACTGAGCAGAGACACAAACTGATGCCTGCTGGGTGAGTCAAGTGGCTGTTTGGCGCGCTAAAAACTAGTTTCATGTACTTCAATTATGTTCAATAATTGCTAAAATGACTAAAAATTTTAATATAAAACTTTTAAAATTATTGAATAGTACAAGCTTCGTGATATTTACTCAAATGGGAACGAATTTAAGCCCTAGAACCGATTACTGTATTGGCGGACTAATATTCCAGCTGGTGAGGAAGCCAAAACATGTTGACATGATTTTGTAAGGAATTCGTTAACCGAATTTTTTCGTTAACCGAATTGAAGATTTTTATGGAAGGTAATTCGTTAACCGAGGCGTTCGTTAACCGAGGGATCACTTTATATATACAGCTCCTTCCCAACTTACGACCTACTCGACTTACGTCCACCCGCACTTATAACCTGCCTCAGTCGTACCAAAATTTGGTCAAATTACTATTTTCGAGTCCCAAAGTCAGTACACAGACAAAATTTTCATCTGTAATTCACTTTAAAATGGCTGGCAAGCTTAAAAGTGAGTGTTTTATGGTGCTGAGAAGAAAAAGAGACACCCATTTTCGATTTTCTATGTACAGTATGTATTATTTAAGCATTTCCGACTTACGACCTGGATGTCGGTCCCTAACCCAGTCGTAAGTCGGGGAGTATATATATATATATATATATATATATATATATATATATATATATATATATATATATATATATATATATATATATATATATATATATATATATATATATATATATATATACTATTTTCTATAAAAATGCCATTGAATTTCTGTAAATGTCATGTATTTCATGGGACAAAGGGAGGCTCAGGAAAATAACTCCCGTATTTTATCTATTTCTTATTGGGAAAATTGATTCTGTTAACATTGCGGTTTTCAGGAACGGAACCACGAGGTTAAGCGAAGTCTTACTGTACAATACTGTACTATCTAAAAACAGTCATGGAAGGTCAATTAAGGAGTCTCTTGGAGGTGGATGGAGGGCTAAAAGGCTGACCCAGACAGCAAGAGGGAGTCCATGGCTGCCAACCAATGATGTTGTTGAAATCATTGTTGTTAAATTTTAAAACTGTACATAAAAACAGATGACAAAAATACAACTTCAAAATACTGTGTGTCGACTTCGTTGGCAGCAGCATACACAATTCATCATAATTTGCTTTATTTCTACATGAGTACACCCCTATTATTCCAGTGTAGAGCTCTTACTGTACTATATTGTGCCCCTTGGTTGACCCACATAGTCACAGGAGTGCTCAGCTAATACCCATAAGACCTCTTGTCAAGTCATTATTGGGGCAGGAACTGTGAGAGTTGTAGTAAGAACTGCCTTTAATAGCTCAGAGGGTGAGAGAGTCTGGTGTTTGGGATGAACCCTCAACCCAGTGACCTGAAGCCTTCCTTACCAGTCTATGAGACACAGGATCAAATGGATGGGTTGAGTATCTTGCTGCCACAGGTATGCTAACCCAAAGGGTATTTTATTGCTACAGATTTCACAAGTGACCTGTTGATGCTCTGTGGGTCATGAAATTCTGCATAAAGTACTAGTTGGGTTATCATGTAGAAAAAGCTTTTCCTGAATGTTTACATTATAAAGTAAAAAGTAAACTATATATTAAAAGATACAAACACTTTATCTTCGGGAAAGAGAATTCCAATCTGTTGGATGATTGGTCCATAGCACTGGTCCCTCTCTTGCTCTCCAGAAGGTGACCAATCCCGAACAATTTGCCTGATTGTTGACTGAACTTTCTCAATGTCTGACGTCAACAGGCTGTTACCATGTGCATCATCTATTTTCTGTTGGAAAGAATAAAAATTTTAATAACTGTTAGAAATAAATAATTAAGGCATAATATCCCATTTTATGGCCTACAGGTCACCACAAGTGAAATACATCCACCAGAAGAGCCCCCAACAAACCCTGCTTTATCATTCTGGGAACTATCTGCATTATTGAGGCAGATACAGTACACTAACCATCCAGATAACTGTAACGCTGCTTTCACACTCAGGATGGAAGAGGACTCACTGTCTTTCTGTGGAGAGGGAAACTGTCTTCCTTGTCTTCCTTCTTGGATAAATTTTGAAAGATTCGAATTAGATGTGATTCGAATATAGTGTTAACTTGACTCCCTTGGATGGACAATTCATGTCAGAATATATCTGTTCGGGCCTCAGTGTGAAAGCACCCTATTGCGGCTAAACCAGTTATTAACCCAAATGTCCCAGGGTTTGTGAAGTGCTGTACTGTATGCTCCAACCCCAGCTCAAAGGTTGCTTCAAAACCCAGTGAGCCAAAAGGTACAAATGATAGACCTTGAAATACAGTAGGTCCTCGTCTCCCCGATCAACGTCGCTGCTCTTTAGATACAAGAATTCGGATAACGTCCCGATGACTCAATTTAACGTAGTTTTTACGTCGTTACGGACTACTTTTCATGGCGCATCACCCTCTCTCATCTTGCTGCGCTACGCTCTCTTGGGAGGAGGAGGAGGCAGCCGCCAAGTCTCAGTGACTAGCCACCCTCCTCCTCCTCCGCTCCACTACCCACCACACACTAGCTCCACCACTTCCGCCCATCGGTGAGTACCAATACAAAATGATATATATATATATATATATATATATATATATATATATATATATATATATATATATATATATATATATATATATACTATTTTCGATAAAAATGCCACTGAATTTCTGTATATATAATGCATTTCATGGGGCAAAGGGAGGCTGGGGAACGAAACAACCAAATTTTATCTATTTCTTTTTTGGGAAAATTTATTGGCTTAACGTTGTTCCTTCGTTTTAATTTTAGAGTTACTCAGTAATAGGGCCAGACTATATAAAATAATTGCCATTATAATAAAGGATGATATCATTTGTAGGTTGATAAACTAGACCAAGTATAGGGTGGCTGTAACCTGGCCCAGGTCATGATGGTGGTGGTGTGCAGGTCAGTAATGCTCCATTGAAGTGTCATATTTCAACACATCAGGCACGGAGGTTACTACATACAGTATACTCATTATAATACCCGTTCAAAAGTAACTGCATAAACAAACTCCTGTATCCTGATGTATCATGCAGAGGGCAGCCCAGACATCTCACTTGTCCCCCAAAGTGCAGGGGTTTGCTCCCACTACCATAACCTCTTGACGGTTAACTCATCTATTTTTCCTTATGATCATTAAATAGTCTTATATAATCAAGTCTCCTCAAACTAAGCATCCACATATTTCCCACTTGGATCAAGTTACCACCGACACTAATAAGAACGTTAATGTGGCCAACACGTGTACTGTACTACATTCCTTTTGTCAACTCTTGTCCCACCCCGGAACATGACTGACCGTTCCATTAACCTTATGTTTGTTTGTTTACCTGACTCGACTCTTCAAAGTTATTCGGCCCAAATTTTTTTTTAATACAATCAAACTTGTCATCACACAATGTTATAAATTACTCAGGTGTGTATGATTAGCATATACAGTAATGCAGACAATACATTATTTTTCATTTTATTATTAGCTGTAGTAGTATTTATATTACATGTCACATTCAATATCCTGTTCGGCCTCCCTCCTTATTAATAGCTGCCTGTAGTCTGCCAGACATGGAGCAGACGATATCCTTTACTAGATGCTGATGGAGGCGGAACATTTCCCACTGCGCATTTGTGAGCAAACAGCTGCTCAGGTGTTCTCTCTGTGCCAGGCTCCCACATAGGCTTTCTATTGAGGTTACAGTCGCAGCCTTTGCTTGACCAATCAAGCGGTTGCAGGTTTTCCCGATGTCCGAACCTCTCTGTGACTACTCTGGCTGTTTGAACGAGGCAACGGTCATGTATAAATATGACTGGCTCCGGTGGGAAGGGGAAGTTCCCTTCTCAGGAGTGATGGAAGGAAGACATTCTGAAGGAGATTTATTTAGTTGGCCCACACTATGGATGGAGACACCCCCCCAGGTGCCTCCTCATGGATGTGACGACGGTTCTATCTGTAAATGATAACATTGTTTCTATAGAGCTTCATGGGACTCATTACATGGGCCAGTCATCACAGAATCCTCAGTTTTTCTGAATTTTCTCCAGAATTATTCCCAGTGACAATTGACAATTGTTAAATGAAAAAGGGTGTTAAAAAATTTTAATTGCTACACCGAAAAATCACTAAGTGAACGATCGTTAAACAATGGATACCCGCTTTGTTATTTAAAATAACTGTGTTTGACAATTCCTGGGTATATTTTCATTCTTCATTACACTATTACAATGACCATGCCAATGTTATTAAATTACAACGGACCCGTCATTCACTGGACCGTAAATGCGTCCCAGTCGTAAAGGGACACCGCATGTGGAGGCCCCGGCCCATCCCATTATCACCCCTGTAGTAAGTGAAAGTCGGTTAGGCTTCAGGAGGAGGAGCGAAGGACAACACACAACAGAGGCATGAGTGTGCTACTTGGGGGGTATTGTTATGTTATCACAGTGGCCAATCATCTCCCAAATTCTGGACTGTAAATTTCCACAAACTGGGAATACCACCCTAGATTAGCTTATCAATGAAACACTGAGGTTAAGCTATCAAGGTTCTTGTACAATTTGGAGCCACCTATGCCTGCGAGCCAGCCTTCTCCTCAGTGGTACATATAAAATCTAATTATAGTACCTTAACTGTATTTAATATATAAAGCCAGCCTCCCTGTGTAAGGGAATTCCTCAGCAGAACATGGACTATACTCTTATGTTACAGGAATATGAATGAATGACAGAAACTAAAGGAAGAATTTTTTTTTCATTCCTGCATTTTATCAAGAAAATGTTTGATTCTCAACCAGAGGGAAGAATTGGTTCTCTCCCTATACACTTTCTTTCATTCACTCAGCAACAAATTAGTGCACTCTGCCAAGGGGGGGTGGGGGTAATCTACTGGCTGCTGCATGCAAAGAATCAGGAGACATCAGCACTAGCTCTGTCACCTCACATACATCAGCACTAGCTCTGTCACCTCTCATACATCAGCACTAGCTCTGTCACCTCACATACATCAGCACTAGCTCTGTCACCTCACATACATCAGCACTAGCTCTGTCACCTCACATACATCAGCACTAGCTCTGTCACCTCTACATCAGCACTAGCTCTGTCAGCACTAGCTCTGTCACCTCACATACATCAGCACTAGCTCTGTCACCTCACATACATCAGCACTAGCTCTGTCACCTCACATACATCAGCACTAGCTCTGTCACCTCATACATCAGCACTAGCTCTGTCACCTCACATACATCAGCACTAGCTCTGTCACCTCACATACATCAGCACTAGCTCTGTCACCTCACATACATCAGCACTAGCTCTGTCACCTCCATACATCAGCACTAGCTCTGTCACCACATACATCAGCACTAGCTCTGTCACCTCACATACATCAGCACTAGCTCTGTCACCTCACATACATCAGCACTAGCTCTGTCACCTCACATACATCAGCACTAGCTCTGTCACCTCACATAGCATCAGCACTAGCTCTGTCACCTCACATACATCAGCACTAGCTCTGTCACCTCACATACATCAGCACTAGCTCTGTCACCTCACATACATCAGCACTAGCTCTGTCACCTCACATACATCAGCACTAGCTCTGTCACCTCACATACATCAGCACTAGCTCTGTCACCTCACATACATCAGCACTAGCTCTGTCACCTCACATACATCAGCACTAGCTCTGTCACCTCACATCATATAAGGTAAAGGTTTGTAAAGTATTGTAGGTCATAAATATTCTTACCAGTGGATCATGCTGCACATTCTCAAACATATTTTCTACATCTTTAATGATCAAGTTTATAATTTCAGCATTATGTTCAATGCAAATACTTTGTTGTCCCAGATGATTTTTGTATGACTCTAGAAGAGACTGATGGTGTGGTGGCAGAGATTTTATGTAGCCTTCCTTATCAGTCACCTTCTTGAGGGTGTGGTGCCTGTAAGACATCAACAGGTTCAGGATATACTCTACTACTATAATATGGAAGCAAATACACATTAAACTGAGCTAATGGGTTTATTATATATATAAGAAGTTCTGGACAAGTACAGCTGGTGCCTGGCAACTCAACATGTTACCTGCAACAACTTGTGGTTCAGTCCACTTCAGATGAAACGAGTCCAGCTTATTCCTATAATTTACATCTTTCTACTTTATTCTGACAAGATACTTTTATATTTCTAATAATAAATTATCTGTATAATTTTTTCAGAAAATTGTGCTTAATTCCTGTAATGAACCTTAACTCACCTCAGACTCTTCAGTAGAGAAATGGTTCTTGTTTTCACAGGTAGTATAAGACAAGTGATCTTGTTCCAGCTGTACAAATACACCAGAGTTCCTCTTGTTTACCCTTCTCTAATTTGCACTTGGTACTAATTTGGACATTTTGGGGATACTGTACTACAGTATATAGTAATATATAATTATTGGACAGGGGGCACCTTGGACACATACGACCTAGCCAACTTACCTGTAAGATTTGAATGCACGAACAATTCGCTGAAAATGTTCTCTTTCCTGGGCTTCAGAATCATCCATGATCCTGTCAAACAAAGACAAAAAATGATCACATCAATAACAAATATATCCTCTCTTACAAAGTCTTTGATTATGGTTTAAATAATATGTATATTAAACCCTCTCAATATGGGGCTTCTCAAAGAGGGGCCATAAAAATGCACATCTTATAATACACTTAAGTACAGTACTGTACCAGGAATCTAAATTATTTGTTTATGGAGTTTCTGTAACAATTTTTTTTTAGAATTTTTACTTTTCCTCAATACTATGCAATAAGTTTTTTTTTTTTTTGCAATTCTGTAGTCATTACCAGACCTAAGTCTTATGTGTTAGTTATGAGACCCTTTAAGGGCAGTAAAGCTGGTCAATAGTGGACAATGTTCTCATTATTGGATCACCAGCAGAGTTCACTAATTATACCAAAGACAAACACATCTCTTATTGGGAGTACTGTACTGTATCCCTATTGAGTAGTTCTTTAGTAAGAGGCTTTACTGTATTTAAATGGGAAATATAGAGCATGGGTCTACAGCCCTAAGAAATAAATCCCACAATATTCACCAATAATGACAGAACATCAGACATGAGCACAGAAACTTATAACAGTGAAGAATTATACAATAGGAACATTGTCCTATACAGTAAAGACAAAGGAAAAGTATTATGGTAGTTTAAATGTGAACATGGATGTGTTAATGTGTTATGGTTAGGGAAAATGGGCTGTAGATACAGTATCATGTGAGCCCCAACCTTATTTTTGGCCAGATTATTTTGTTTTATAATATTTTATATATTTTTTTAACTTTATGCTAAGTAAATCTCTAAGTTTACCATCATTTTTTACTCGTGTTGTGACTCATCACCTCGGTGGCTGTTAAAGACCTTACCTGAGCGCTTAAGACCTGACACTGGCCACGGTCAGCTGCCTGGTCGTGTTACTTCATGCCTCTATAAAACATCCTCTGTAATTGTTCTTGTCACACTGCTGAAGAGGACCGTAGGTTACAGGTGATATATACGTTGGTCTTGTTTCTGTATGTTTTATCTCCTCCTACAGTGAGATGTCAGTATTATGATTTATGTAGTACTGTACATATATATATATACAGTACAGCATACAGTTAACAATATTTAGATAAAGGTTTCAAGGTTTTTTGGGGTGAAAAATTGGTGGTCCTACTTAAATGGGAACATATTCTACGACTAAAACTATAAATAATTGCTTTGAGTCACTCAAAATTAGCCCAAGCATTTTGTGGGGAGCTGACAGTTAAGAACTTAGTGTTAATAAGCACAGGGAGCTCAAATTGAATTAAGTACACATAACATATTTCATTTCTTGGTAATATGGTGCTCTGGGTAATACTTGATGAGAGTGGTCCGGTCTTACCATCACCCAGAAGAGATTTCTCCATAGAAGACAACACCTTTCTTATTTTGAGAAATGGGTATTATTTCACTTGTCACTAAACGAACCTCGGGAATTTTGTTGTTGCAATCAGTAGTTTTGATAATTCTAAGACACTTTTCTTTAATGACATTTATGGCACAAATTACACATAAGCAAGATATTTAACATTTTATTATGTATGTTCGTACAAGACGGTACACACCCAGAACATTGAACGATGTGGCAGTACACACGCAAAAACATCGAATGACTATGGAGCTCCCCAGTTAGGTTAGGGGTTTGTTTTCCGATGGTTTTTGATGTGTTTTCACTTTTTACCTTGATTTTTATAGAAAATCTCTAGATTCGGAGATGGGAGGGTTACTAATCAGACCTAATCTCAGAAACTATTGATTTGCACTAGAAATGAAGGTCAAACTCGTTTATAACACATCTAAAACCAGCAGAAAAATAAAGTTTCAACTTCAAGTTTGTACAGCAGCAACAAGTGAAATTTTACAGAGAAACATAAAGGAAATGCAAGAGGGATGTGTTGTGTCATATTACTTTTACATTTTTTTTAATGTTTTTCAGTCTGTGGACAAGCTGCCTGCGCACTTTTCTAATGCTACAACCTTTAATTTATCGTCCATAAAATGAAGAAAACTAACCTACCACGCCTAACCTAACCTTAAGTATTACAGTACTTCCAATTTTATTCCTTTAAAAGAAGCACATCTACAGTCTAACCCTGGCACTCGCTGCAAGGCAAAGTTTGACCATCTTCCTCCGCCCATGTCATATCTGAAATGTGTTATCCAGCAAAATGCATGCCACCTAAATTACTGATATTTCTTGAGGTAACAAACTAATATCTTCTATGGAGAAATTTTGGCAGGTTGCTTCTAAGGCCGGACCACTCTCGTAAAGTATTACCTAACTCGGGGACGGCGGTGCACGTATTCTAGAGTAATACCATTTCTCTACCCCAAAAAATGGCCTCTTTCATTAAGGGTTATTGTAGGTGTGTTTATGTATATATACTGTGAAATGAAGAAAAAACAAACATTGAACTGACTTTATGAGGAATGGATTACTGAGCATGAACAAGTGTTGACCCCTGTCTGCTAAATTCAGATACAAGACAATGAAAGTTAGTTTTACTTAACTGTAGCATGTGGAGACAATTGTTTTATTTAGCAATTCTGACACTGAATCTGTTTACTACAAGTACACTCAAGACAGACATGTTCTACACTCTATATCATTGACCATGTTACTTAACCAAACCATTGTACTTCTCATTTACCAACTTTGATATAGAATTTTAAACTAAAAACATCAAAAAGAACTTATTTCCTTAAAGCATGGAAACAACAGTTCTAAGATTGACTGACGTTTAGTTTTGTTTCCGTGTTTCAAGAGGACCGCCCTCCAACAATATGAATGATTTTAATGTGTAGATATTCCCTGAACTTGACGACTACGCAGGAATATATAACAGTGAAACATTCATTCAAAATATATAATGAAGACACAAAAGCATTGCAGCTGAGTGACTGATTAGTGCGATATGTTAAAGGTGATAATTCCGGGTCTGACTAATTACCCAAATGTAGCCGCAATTAAGTCAAATGATGGTCCTACAAGAATAAATCGGACTGCCAATCACTTCTCGACTGGTATTTGGTGTCATGGAGTCACAAAAAATTGGTAAACTTAATTTAATCTGAGTTAATAGATCGAGTGCATGTACCTAACCTAACCTAACCTAACCTCGACTAGTATTTGGTGTCATGAAGTCACAAAAAATTGGTAAACTTAATTTAATCGGAGTTAATAGATCGAGTGCATGTACCAAACCTAACCTAACCTCGACTAGTATTTGGTGTCATGAAGTCACAAAAAATTGGTAAACTTAATTTAATCAGAGTTAATAGATCAAGTGCATGTACCTAACCTAACCTAACCTAACACAACTCAGATTAAATTAAGTTTACCAATTTCTTGTAACTTTATAACACCAAATAATAATCGAGAAGTGATTCACAACTCGATTTATTCTTGTAAGACCATCATTTGACTTCATTTGGGTACATTTGGGTAATTAGTCAGACTGGATAATTCCCAAACAAAACCACATTAACAAGTTTTCTATATATTAATGACAATAACTATTTCACTCTCACCGTCTCCACTGGTACTTTACACTGGTGTAAGAGGGAGGTATGTCAGCACAATTTAGTGTAGAGAAGTTCACTGGTATAGTTAAGGTTGGCCGGCCAGGTCCTTCACTACTAACAATAACCACACGAGTCTGGCAGCCACCCTCCCTCCTCTACCCCAAGGCCACCCATGAACAGTCCTCTCCTCTCCTCTCCCCTTCCTCTTCCCCACCAGTCTACCTCCCTCTTTCCTCCATATTCCCCCACCTTTCGTTTAATTGTCTCCCGAGTCCCTACCATTCCCGTCATCTGAGCCCTGCCGTTTATACCTCAACTCTATGATGTCATTTTTCCTCACCTTATAGTTGGGTATTAATGGACATTACAAAGTATGAATTTTAGGTATTGTAATGTCTTGGTAAAATATAAATATGCACATACAAAAACCCTACAACCATATAATATTATAACATAGCTTGGGAACATTAAACACTAAGTGAACAAAAATATCATATATAAGTTAGCATCCTCTGATTTGGTGTAAAATTTATACATCCACCCCTCAGCCTCAGACAAGGCTATTAATGAATTAATAGAGGGAGTTTGCAGAGCGTTTCTGGATTTTTTTCATTAAATTCAATTTAGAAAATAGTCTCTCTGCATCTGCATTGGAAGAGACAATACCTGCAAAGCAAATGTACAAAGGTCCTTAAATTGGGAAACACCTACACCGTCCTCAAGTTCCCCTAGTTCTGTATAAACGTCCACATGTCACTACTGTCCTTAATCTCGGGTGGTATAGCAATCACATCTAAGTCTCTCCATTGATCATCTAAAACTTGTCTACTGCCACTGTATATGCGGGGCAGGGTTGCCAACTCGGGTCTTCAAATGTCGCTAGGCTGGTACCTAAAAGTAGCTAAATGTCGCTAAATCTTCCATGGAAAGTCGCTAGCTATTATTCCCCCCTTCAGTAATTTGATGCAAATAATATTTTCATAATGCCGACTATAATGGACGGAGTATAAATAAAATGCACTATGTAAAAATAAAAATATTATTTTGTTTAAAGTTTAATGTGCACACTTACCTATTATTCAATAGTAATTGCATCCCAGTCCTCTTGGTAGTGTGAACAACTGTAGAGCTGGAAGCATGTGAAGTGCTTGGTTCAGGTTCTCTTGTAACTGTATGCCTCCACAGTCCCTATCTTTCTTAAAATATCACTCGGAAGTTCATAACGGGATGAAGAAAATGTACTAGTTGAGACTGTGTGTGAGAAGGACCTAGGTGTGTATGTTGACAATGAGCTGAAGTTCTCGGGCCATTGTGAGAAGAAGGTAAATCAGGCAAATAAATTATTGGGTCTTATAAGAAGGTCGTTCAGATATCTAGACGGTCCGTCCCTCGTGACGATCTTCAGGAGTGAAGTGCTTCCCCATCTGGAGTACTGTCACCCCATCTGGTCCCCGAGATATGCTAGGGACTGTCAGTTGGTTGAAAATGTTCAAAGGAGGGCCACCAAACTGGTGCCTGCACTTCGGCACCTCAGCTACCCTGAGAGATTGGAGCGCCTGAACTTGCCTAGCTTATACTACAGACGGGCAAGGGGGGACCTAGTTGAGGTGTATAAGCATCTCAGGGGGCACTACTCAGTTGAGTGTCCTTACTTGGAGCTGGCGGACGCTCGCCCCACAAGGGGTCACAGCTCAAGATTGAAGAAGCCGCAAGTCCAGAAAACCGTGAGGGCAAACTTTTTCGGAGTGAGGGTTGTGAACTCTTGGAACAATCTACCAGAGAGTGTTGTGACGGCACCGAGTGTGAGCTCTTTCAAGAGAAGACTTGACCAACACTGGAGCAGGTTCAGGTACATTCAGGAGCCGGTGCATGCCCAGTACTTGTCAACAGTGCGTGACAGAGACGTGACCGATCGCCCGGGCGGCTAACAAGCCGATCAGTGGCGAAGAGGATAAAAGTTATAACTTGCACAACAGGTGTTCTGTCTTTTTAACCCATACTTTATTGTAAGAATTGCTTTTAATGTCGATAGTTTCATTTTGTTGCGCAATTTTGATTTCACAAAGTTCATATTACTAAATGTGCGCTCTACATCTGCGTTTGAATGCGGAAGAGATAAGGCAGCGAGTGCTTCAGCCAGATCATGGTAAGGGTTTTCACCTGTCGCATCTCTGTAATTTGCCACTTCTGACCACAATTTTAGGGTGTTAGATGTTTCTGTCCAGATTGTGTGATGCAGTTTTTTCCACTGGAAATCAATCTTGGTAAGGGTGCTGGAATCTTCTGTAAATAAGTGTGCCAAACCAAGTATATCTGATTTAATAGGCTTCAAGCATTCATCGGCACTCAGAAAAGAAATAGACTGCAGCACACGAATGTTGTCAGGTAAGAGTTGACCAAGTTGTTTTATGAGTTCAACCCGTTCAAATGCATTGTCCCTGTAACCTCGTTGCTATATATTATGGCTCGAAATTAGGAAAACCGAGTTTTCATGGACAGTCCAAAAGTATCCAGAAAGTCGCTAGATTTCTGTGGATATCTCTAGGTTTGCGACAAGTCGCAAATCGCTCTAAAATGTCGCTAGAAAAAAACAAAAAGCTCTAGATCTAGCTACAAAGTCGCTAAGTTGGCAACTCTGATGCGGGGCACCGCCTTCACAAAGTCGTATAAGGATGGCATCTCCTTCCTGGATTTATTATCAAATAACCTATTTGATGACAGAAATGAACACATCCATAAAAACTTACTGCCAAACTCAAATCTTTGACGTAATTGCACACTGTACTGCGCTGGTAGAATCTCAGAAAACGGGAAACATTGATAAAGGATAACTCACCTACTCAATGTTACTAGACCATGTGTTGTATTGTACCCAGGTACAGTTATATAATATTAATTGTATGTATTCATAGCATTAAGGAGAACTCAGGGTATCCATAAGATGATTGGGAAAGGCCAGTTGAGCCGGACTAGTGTACTGTAGGACTAAGTGTGGATCATGGTTTGAGGGTCATACTATTTAAGTCTGTGAGCGTGTAGCGAACATAACTTCCACAGATATCATATGAAAATACATGAGAACAATGATCTGGAAAAAGGATAAATGCATCAGTACTATGTGAGGTGTTGGAAGTGACCCAGAAACTATACTTGAAAGGAAATATCTTGTATGCATCGGTGTGAACTTAATACACCTCGTATCCTCACGTGACATATACCCACGACAGGTACAGTGATCAGAGAATCTTATGTCTGTGTTCAAATAGTGCAATGTGTGAGAGGAGGATCCCTAATTACAGTTTTAAGTGAAGTGGATGTACCCCTGCCATGAACATTCAGCCTTTGTTTGGGGAGCGTCCTGTACCCGCCTCGAGAGTGCCGCGTTGATATTATAGCCCAATGAATTTACCCACGAACTAGCAAACCAAGACCTTACCTTAGTGTGTAATTTAGGATTAAAATATGTGTTTATAAGGCATGAGTGACAATATACCGGAAAGTGTTCAGGTGAGAACCGTATGAAATAAAAGTAAAAATTAAAGATTGGAAATTGTAGGCCTACGCGGTGACGAGCGGCGGGGCACTGCCCTCAGTACCCTCCGTTCTACCGTCACCTCAGGTCAGTGTCCTATCGGGCTATATCCCGCCCTATAATTAAGGCTTACATAGAAGTTATTACAGTTTAAAGCTTTGCCTGATGTATAGGTGTAATAGTAATGGGTTAAGGTGTGTGATAACCGCCCGTCCGGCATTATTTCTCAGTACCCTCCGTTCTACCGTCACCTCAGGTCCCATAGGTCGGAGTACCTTGCTGCGGGCAGCCATTATTCCTGTGAGAGTCCCACCAGGTGGTGACTACTCCCAGCTATGCCAATCCACTGTGAACCTGTGGATTCCCAGCACACCACTCCAAATGAGTAGTAACAAATGAGGAGACCGTCACTTGGAGCGACCTATAATACCAGGCGTAGAAATAGTACTGGTATGTCTCTTGGTGAAGCCCTCTTCTTTACCCACCAGGACGGTGTGCGAACGAGGTGCCTGTTATGTATACCTAAAAGTCACAAGGAGTCCCATACCTGCAGGTGTGGAGTGTAACAGGTGTGTTGAGATGGTGCTACTATGTATGATAACCGACGGTGCTATATTCCATACAGGTGGAGCAGTCTGATGTGTTAAGGGATAGTGTAAGAGGGAATGACCGAGGTAAGGTGGTCACAGATTGTTATGCAATAAGTATGTGGATGACACGCCATTAATGTAAGACGTCTGGTGCCCATCTGGGTAACCAACATTTTCGTTGTTCTTCTGAGGAAGACCAATTCATTTGTATGTTTTTTACCAGTATGCTTTATAAGGAATAAATTAATTAAGACATGTTATGGTTTCACCCTTCTTTCCCCTTATCGATCTGGTCAATGGAAAACCTAACCCAATGCCTAGTCCACTCTGCACGCTACCTAACAAGCTACATGCTGTCCAGAGGGGGTCTGGTGGCAGCGACCCTTAGAAATTAAGATTAGAGTTAAGTATTTACCCTTAGAATTAGTGACCCCAGTCTGGCAGTATAACACAAAGGTTTATCATGAAGATACGACATCTGAATTGTACATCCTTGACCATATTAGGGAGTTCTCTATATTGTTCACTTTGCAATAGACCACGTATTGTTGCTCCCAAGTATATTTGGCCTATTGGGAGGTGATTTTCTTCATTTCTGGGATCAACTGCATCAAGATTACCCGTTTGAAAAACTTCATGACGACAAAAATATCCCAAAAGATTCCTGTAAAGCTGACATATACTATCGTGCTGCTGAGGACTGTGTACCTGCCACAAGAGAAGCACCACATTCCTCGCCTGTACAACCTTCTCTTACCCACAACCCTCTTCTACCTCTGCTTCTCCCACAGATCTCGTGTCTCTAGACAGAGTCGTCTCCTGCAGCGACCGGCTGATCCACACCCCTGCCCGTTATGTCTCACATGTGGGATACAACCCTGCCGACAAAAAGTCTCCTGCAGTGCTCGGAGGGGAGGGGGAGTATTGTAGTGGATACTCTCCCCTACAATCTGACAAGCCTAGCCGCATTCCAATGCGACGGGATTCAGCAACCGGCGAGTTTCTCACAGGGGGTCGCCACCTGCGACGCTTGCATCCGGGTTTACTTCTGGTAGCCGAGTATATAAGCTCTCAGTCTTGCCATTGAAATTCATTCTACCCTACGTTCCTGAACATGCAACACCTCCTCTGAGCAAGCTCCTCACTGACCAGCTCTCATTCTAGCTACAGCCCTGCAACTAGCAACACCTCCTCTGAGCAAGCTCCTCACTGTCCAGCTCTCATTCTAACTACAGCCCTGCAACTAGCAACACCTCCTCTGAGTAAGCTCCTCGCTGTCCAGCTCTCATTCTAACTACAGCCCTGCAACATGCAACACCTCCTCTGAGTAAGCTCCTCGCTGACCAGCTCTCATTCTAGCTACAGCCCTGCAACATGCAACACCTCCTCTCAGCAAACTCCTCTTCCAAGCAGCAACTTCCCAGCACCAAACTGCACTGTACACTCAATATATTTATATACAGAAAACGCATTGTGAGTTTCCTTTCTCCAACCCATCCTGAGTGTGAGACCACATCACGAAACCCCACATTAGCACAAGATTTCAGGCATTTTTATATTTTTTCCTCAACATAATACAGTAACTTCTAATAAAATTAGTGAAAACTGGGTATTTTTAAACCCATTTTTAATGAAAAACAGCTGAGTCACGTTCTGAATAATTTACTGTCCATACATTAAGCTTATGATCCCATGGACTCTCTATGTTATCTCATGCAGGCGCCCACCCGATCGTCCAGTCAAT